GGGGCAACCATTATATGTATGTATGTATGTATGTATATGTATGTATGTATGTATGTATGTATGTATGTATCATATTTATCTAATGGTCACCTACTAAGTGACAAAAGGTCGCCATACTGAGGGAGAAGTGTACAGTATGTATGACTGTGTTTATGAACGCTGAGGGTGTCTAATCTTCAGGTGTTCCGCTTCGTGTGTGTGTGTGTGTGTGTGTGTGTGTGTGTGTGTGTGTGTGTGTGTGTGTTGCCAGCCTCCTCCGGGTCCTCACCATTAACACAACTCATGGACAATTAATGGCTCCCTTATTGACAGTGTATTGTGATATATTGATAAAGTGACTGTCAACAAAATCTTACGTCTCAGGTTTAATTATCGTGTGTGTGTGTGTGTGTGTGTGTGTGTGTGTGTGTGTGTGTGTGTGTAGGGCTCACCATGCACTGCACAGAGGCGATCGTGGTAGTGCGTCCCTCCATCAGTCTCACGGCCTATTATTTCCTGCCGCCCCCCCTTCCCTCTCTCTCTCCCCGCACCCTGTTTCCCCTCTCTCCCCGCTCTCCTTCCCCTCTCTGCAACCCTCCCTCCCCCTACTACGCCATCCTTCCCTCCTGCCACGCCCCTCCCTCCCCCTGTCACCCCCCCCAAATAACCCCTCCCTCCTCGCCTTTTCTCCCTTCCCTTCTCTTAGCTCTCCTCTTCTACCCGGTACTCCCTATATTTTTTCTCTTTCTCTCCTCCCCTGGCCTCCTCTTCCTCCTTCCCTTGGCCTCCTTCTCCCTTGGCCTCCTCTTCCTCCTTCCCCTGGCCTCCTCTTCCTCCTTCCCTGGCCTCTTATTCCTTCTTTTTCTCCTCTTTTCCCATCTCCTTTTATCCAGTTCCTCTCTCTACTTCTCTCCTTTCTACCTTTCCTTGCCTTACCTCTCCCATTCTCTTCTCTCACCTCCCCTCCTCTCAGCACCTCTCCTCTCCCCGCGGCGTGATGTGGTGGGCGCGGCAGGTGGTGGGCAGGAGTGGTGGCAGGAGAGTAATTATTCATGTTAGGGTTGGCGAGGGCGTCAACAGGGGCGGCAGCGGCGCAGTGTTTGACCTCTCTACCTAACACAACCCCCCTCCCCCCTTACCCCTTCCTTCCACCCCCCTTCCCCTAAACTGTGTCATCGTTCTATACTTAACCTAAAATGTTTTGGTCATAGGTTGGGATTTTTATAAAGGTGTATTTTGTTGTTCAGTGTGAGGAGTACATTGATTTGTTCACCTGTGTTGATATGACAAAGGTACTCAAACTATCCAACCAGGAGCGAACTCGTAACAATGGTTTTAAATAAGACAAAATTTAGATTTAGGCGCGAGATAGATAAACACTGGTTTGGAAATAGAGTAATGGAACAAGTTACCAAATATCATCATTAACTCTAATACGCTGGATAGCTTCAAACATACTGTAGGTTGGATGGATATATGAGCAATAGGGGTTGGGTGTAAACGGACTGTCAGTATGACCCGCTGCTGTTTACGCCATTATTATGTTCTTATGGTTTTTCTGTTGTTGTCAGTGTGGGAAATTAATGTAGTGATGATCCTGGCGTCCTGCAGGGCCTGTATGTGTGTCCTGTAGGGGCCTGTCTGTGCGTCCTGCAGGGGCCTGTATGTGTGTCCTGCAGGGGCCTGTCTGTGCATCCTGCAGGGCCTGTCTGTGTGGCTGGGTAACGGATAGAAGGGTCGCTGAGACACCCCATTTCACCCAGCTGTCAATGGGTCCCAGGCCTTTATTGTTATGACTTGGATACATTTTGTTAGACTATTATATATATTATACTTTGTGATACTACCACTACTACTACCACTACCACTACTACCACTACCACTACTACTACTTATTTTTTTTTTTAAACGTGGCCTCCAGCCTCCCCAATAGCCACACCTTCGCCACCATTTAATTACCTTAGTATTAAATATCCTAATACATAAACTATCCTATCTGTGTTGAATTAGTTGAGCCGCAGATCCATGCGGCATTCAGTTGACGGAGTAGGGGCAGAAGCTCTCGTGCCCCTGAGGCAGAGCAAAGCCGACCGAAGGAGAGAGAAGGACAGTCGACATCTCATCCAGGCTGTGACATAACTTCTGGGCTGCTGCTTCTGTTCGGAGATCAGCTCCGCGAGTCTGGCGTAGAAACATCTTGCGCTTGGGCCCATCCCACCAGAGGTTGTGAACACTAGCGGAGTGAAGCTGCCTTGATCGACATTTTGAATTCTCTCCCCATATGCCCTTCTCTTGTCGTTCTCGTTCCTCCTATGTGCAGCGTCGAGAGCTAGGTTACGGTGACATGCGGCCATGGGATCAAAAATCCTGATGTCGAAGAAAGCTCGCTGTCCCCGCGTCCAGAATCCTCGAGCACTGACGTCCACACGGGCTTCGTTAGATGTGTTTGAAGTCCTGTGTTGGAAGATCTCACCATCCAATGGAAGGAGGGTCGGTTCTACCATGACATCCCGGCAGATTTCCTTCAACATATTTGCTGTGAGATCCCTTACCTCGCCATGCCTCGTGCATATGAAGCCCCCCTTCTTACACACCATGGCGTGATCGACGTCATAGGAAGAGCCACACACGCCTTGGGAGGGCAAACCTTCTACTGGGCGACCGTACCTTAGAGCAATGTCTCTACTACTACCAATAATAATAATAATAATAATAATAATAATAATAATAATAATAATAATAATAATAAAAATAATAAAAGGTTTAGAAATGACGTTGTTGTTGTTGTTGTTGACGGTGGCAGGCGGTGTTGAGGACCAGCTTGGTGGTGGTAGCGGCCATATTGGTGGTGTCAGTGTTATCACGGGAGACTATGGCGAGCACCAACCATGTCATCTGTTACTACGCCTCCTGGGCACACTACCGCCAAGGTCAGTCATTACCGCCATGGTCACGCCAGGTCAGTATTACCAGGTCACGCCAGGGTAAGCAATTTCTAACTAATCCCTTATAGGTAAGACCACTGGATTAATTTCTATATTTATACTTTTCAGGTAAACATTTAAAGAAAGAATTAATAATATTTTGTCCTAAAGTATTATTATGGATATCACGGTAAAAGGTCAGGTTAGTTTAGGTAAGGTCAGGCCAGGTTAGGTCAGGTTAAGTTAGGTTGGTCATCAGTTATAAAGATTCATTGTTACCTTGGAGTTAAGTCCTTTTAAATGTCTACTTAAATATGTCTGCAGCCGAGTATATTATTTTTGCTTATTGATAACATTTGATTAAGTAGGTGAGTATAACTTAGAGAATATATGTCTTTATGGCTGAGTAATAACTAAGAGAATATATTCAATGTCTTGTTAGTTGGTTGTTCCAGCCTTTAGTTTCTCTCTCAACCCTCAGTGGACCAGGCAGTTATTAAATGACTTTTATCACCACAGTACACCCCTCCCCCCCACCACCTCCCCACTCCTCACCCCCACCACCTCCCCCCTCCCCACCCCCACCACCTCCCCCACCCCTCACCACCTCCCACACCTCCCCCCCCTCCCCACCCCCCACCCCACCCCCTCCCACCCCCCACCCCACCACACCACCTCCACCCCTCACCCACACCACCTCCCACCTCACCTCTCCACTCCTCACCCCCACCTCTTACCTTCAACCACTCCTTCTTCTTCCCCTCCCATCTTCAATTACTCCCTCTTCTCCCCCTCCCTCTTCCAACCACTCCCTTTCCCTCCCAACCAATCCCTCCTCCCACTCCTTCCCTCCTCCCACTCCCTCCCGCACCAGCTGGTCCTTACACATGATTGTCCGTGACTCTTGACCCCGGGTATGTGGTGGACAGGTGGGGTCTAGGAAGGGAGGGGAGGGGACGAGGGTGGGGAGAGGAAAGGAGGGGACAAGGGTGGGTACTACATGCTGTGACCCTTCCAGCCTCTCCTTGACCCATGCTGGCGACACTATCCAACGCCTCCCTCCATAATCCTTCTCCCTCAAACTGTTTATTCACTCGTTAAGGAATATCTCAAGAGTAGAGGAGTTTTCTCTTGATGACATAGTGAAGATAACATTGTCATGGTCCCAGCCTGTTGAGTGGTGTATGATTAATGTTTCACTGTTGTATTGTGCTTTAGTTACTGTGTACACCACTCGGTCAAAAATACAAGGGGTGCTCAGTGTAAGTTTAGTTTGGATCACCTAAAGATTAGACACCCCAGCTTATTTCACCTGAAGATTAACTACCCTAATTCAACCTAACCACCTCCCCAGGTAGCATTAGGTACTTAATCATCAGGTGAAATAAGTTTGGGTGTTTAATCTTCATGTGGTTCCTTTAGTTCCTATATTGTACAGTATTTATGGTTACAGGTCAGGCCAAGTACACAGTGGAGGACATCCCCGTGGACCTGTGCACTCACCTCGTCTACGCCTTTGCCATCCTCGACCCCAAGACCTTCCTGGCTAAACAACACGACCCATGGCTGGACAATGACCTCAAGAACTATGAGAAATTCACCCAACTGAAGAATAAGAAGCCCGACCTGAAGGTGAGTGTGTTAATTATTTACGTACGTTGCTGTAAGTGGTGTGGGGTAGTCCTGGAGTGTGGGTGGTCAGGGGGGATAACCTTGTCCTGTAGCTCACTTTCTCACTACACCACAACTCTCTCCATACCATTGCTGTATATATTTCACAATAAACCATCTTCTTCCTCTTAGTCTCTCATCACCACCATCTCCAAACTCAAGGAATATGTCATTAACAAAATATTAAACACACTCAAGAACACTACACTACTTTCTTCACTGACACAATATAGTTTGTTTCAGTAATTCCCCCATTGATGTGTATTGTCCAGTCGTTTACTGTTTATTTGTGTTGTTTAAAAATTTTTGGAAATTGGTATAAGAGTGTACTGTACTGTGCTATGCTGTGCTATGCTGTGCTATGCTGTGCTATACTGACAGGTGCTGCTGGGTTTGGGTGGGTGGAATGACTCCCGCAGCAACAAGTACACTCGGCTGGTGGCAGATGCTGGACTACGGCGTAAATTCGTGGAGGAGGTGGTCAAGCTGCTGCTCCAGTACAACTTTGATGGTCTTGACCTGGACTGGGAGTACCCGGGGTATGAGGGAAGCCCCAGTGATAAACAAGGTAACAAGAGGAAACATTGTACACAGTTGCTTTGTCTACTCTTCAAGAATTTTCTATAAACAACAGGAAATATAGTTAAGGTTTATCACTTAATAGAGTAAAAGAAAAAAACAATGAGAGATGATGGCAAGTGTTCTGAGTCAGGCAGAGGCAACAGTCACACTTTGTAGGTGATACATTACTGGTTGTTCAGTGAGTCATGCCACCACATCACCAAAGTCACTGCCATTCATTCTTCTCAGTGTTTATTATCTTTGATACTAAAACGATCCAAAAAATTTGTGGAGCTCAGTTGATAAGTCATCCGATATATATTTATATTGTTACGTTGCTTCTGTGTAAAATGTCAAGTGTATTTATCATATCTACAAATAGACCTACAGTACAGTATATCTGTTGTTGTCACTCATTGCCTTCTTCTTCCTCTCAATCCTATACAGGATTTACTGCTTGGCTGGAGGACCTCAAGTCAGCTTTCAGGCCTCATAATTTGCTGCTGACATCAGCAGTCAGTGCTGGTCGACGCACTATTGACCGTGGCTACGACATCCCAAAAGTTGCTAAGCTGCTGGACCTGGTGAGCAACACATTTACAGTACTTCTCACTGTATAGTTAGGGGTACAAGTATTTTCATGGCAATATACAGTACAGAGTATAGGATAGCTAAAAAATAAGATTGCATTAATGGGCAAAACTGAAAGTAGAAGGCCAGGGGAAGCCAGAAACTGGAATGGTTGGACAAAATTAAAAGTTGCACATCCAGAGAGATACAAAATCTGGGAAGATTAGTAAAGACAGCCAAACAATGTGTGGAGTGGATGACCATGGTCACCAGCCCTCAGACATGAGGATGGCACCTTGATCAACTGATTGATACAAAGATACCTGAATGTTCTCAACACAAACAGAAAGGCTAAGGACACAGACACTAATGATTTACCAGTGAACTACAGGTACAGTGTCATCGTATTTTGCTTCCATCAGGTATTTCAGTGGCCATTTATGTGGCTCAGAGTTGGCTTGATAATGTGTTATAGTCTTATAGAACCTGTGTGTGTGTGTGTGTGTGTGAGAGAAACATTTATAGTGTTTAGAGGTCACCTGATTTTTGGGTTCATAGACATGTTCAAGAAACAATATCATGCAAACTTAAATTTTAAACTGGTCCTTAATTTTCATTGCCATCATCAATCACAATACTTGTACACAACATAACTCCAATCTTCTTTCCCATAAATTTATGCACAGTTGTTTTACTACCACAAAGATAGACCAGTTCTCTAATAGACACATATATTTAGATAGAAATTCCTCTCACCTGAGCCCTACTCTCATTTGAATTCCAGTTTCACCTCTTTTAATTTCTTTTCACACTTCAATAGAACCTTATCTTCACTTCATATGAGCCCTAACCACACCTTATGTCCAGTCTGAGACACTCTTCACTTCCACAGATCCACCTGATGTCCTATGACTTCCATGGGTCGTGGGAGAACAAGGTAGCCCATCACTCGCCCCTGTACGCTGAGGCTGGTCAGAACCCCGAGCTGTGTACTGACTTCGCCGTCAACTACTGGATCAAGAAAGGTGCTCCAGCTCACAAGGTGATACTCCCATCACTATCTGGGAAAGGCTGGAGGTAGTACAGTACTGTGGGAATGAGGTTAACATTTTCAGGTTCTGAGAATGGGTACTGTACGGTATTAGGAGGACAAGGGAGGCATGGCAGATGTGTGTGTGTGGTGTACTGTGAATGCACATGAGAGAGAAATAGCATTGGCAGCTTCTATCCAACTGTGAATTACAGTGGAAACCTTGAGGCCAGGTACCTTTATACAGATATACAAAGGTATACAGTATAATGTTTTGATTGTCTTCATCTGAAAAATTATGGCAGTAGAGGTTGATGATCTCTTTAGGTCAAGCATTTATACTCAGGTGTCAGTTTAGGATTCTGTGTGGCTTTGTCTTGTTTTTTATATTTTAAAGATCTTGAGAACACCTCAATCAGTACAGTATAGTTTAAATTTGAATTACATGCTTTATCACCAAGCAGTGTGTTCTCTTGTTAGGGGAGATACAGTACAGTACAGTATTAACCTTCTGGGGAACATTATAGGAGAAGGTGAAATGTCAACAGTCAGACCACAGAACACAGGTTGGAAATGTACAGTACCTCGACAACAACTGATACAGTGTGACTTTAACAACACCCTAAATTTGTTTGTGGAAGAAGGTAAAAGATTAAAGCTTAATACATAGTAGGTTTAGCTGTATGGATGAGAATTACAGACTGCTCTATACCCTTTTAGCTGTGATTTACATCGTGGATCACAGTATAAATTCCACATCCTGATCACCAGTAAATTTCACTTTTAAACATATTTTTATATAATACTCCAAGATAAGAAATGAGTGACTAGGCTGTACCCCCAGTAACCTACCATTAGTTATATGCAGTACTGTACTATACTATCACTTCTGTATATTAATGTGAAGTGTACAGATAGTTATTGGTGTGCCTCTGTATGGACGATCATGGACACTGGCAGGGGCTGAAAACTTCCCAGGGGCGGCTGCTAGAGGTCCTGGACAACAGGGCCGCTACATCAAGGCCTCTGGCAACATGGCTTTCTTTGAATGCTGTCTGGCTCATCAAAAGGTTCTTATTTTATCTAAACTTCTGATTCATTATACATTTTAAGTACTGTACACTAGTGAAGATTTTAAATACTGAACTATACATAGCAGGTATTTCAAAGTTTGTTTGTAATCTCCTACAGTACAGTAATTTTTTATACTGTATAGCTTATATTATGTACACTAATTCTTTTGTAATTACTGCCATCTGTGTGTGTGTAGGAAGGCTGGACAAAAGTGACTGGTGAAGGAGGACCTTACATAACTAAAGGCGATCAGTGGGTGGGCTATGATGATGTTGATGCAGTTGTGAAAAAAGTAAGACCCAAATCTCAACTTTTACTTTTTACTTTTTAACTGAAAATTGTGTACATTTGTTTTGTCCCCTGACTGGTGCTAGGTGAAAGCATCTAATTGAAATAGTCTTCGTAGAATTTTATTTCTAAATCTGAAAGTTTGTTTTATATTTTAAGTCAGCCAGTTATGTGCTCTCTTAAATCATCAGTTATGAGGAATATTTATCTAATGAATCTTTGAGAATATATACCTAAGAATTATGACATAAACCCATGAGACAAACCATAACTAATGCATTGTCTGTTCACTCGATTCATTGACCTCTTTATGAAGAAGAGTCTTTAACATCTTTCAACTCTTCTGTCTTGACACAGGCAGAATATGTGGCCTCTCGAGGCTTAGGTGGTATTATGGTGTGGGACACAGCGACCGATGACTTTGGGAACTACTGTGGTCTTGGTCACAACCCTCTCCTGACAGCCATTGCCAAAACTCTTAATGGCAGCACAACCAGCACTTCACTCACATCTCTGGACAGGAGACCCTCAAGACCTCAGGCAGGATCTTCACAAAAGCTGCCGCCAGGAAACGAGAAAACTAAAGGTGTTGGGAGCCACGGTAAACAAGATACCATCAACACTGCTGGCACAAACACTATTGGTGGTGGTACTTCTGGAAGAAAGAACTCAAATGTAGAAAGAGTGAAAAATAACAGAAATAATGTTGAAACCACGACAAAACTCTTCTACCCTTGGCAAGCGTGGTATGTATGTCTGTATCTTAACACTGTTACTACTGTACGATCAACTCCTAGTGACACCTTCCATTAGTTCTTCCTCTATCTGCTTTAGTGATAGATTCATTACATTTATTACAGAAAACTATTCACTAACATCTCTGACACTTGTTTGATCTCTTCCTGTACTTCTTAATTATTAAAAAAAATCTGTACAAAAGAAGGTTGCAAAATGTCACCTCACAAAATAAGTTATGCAGGAATCATCATAAACACTGTAGGAGGAAAAGGAATTACTCAGACAACTTCCCAGACCTAATCATTCCCTCAGATCATAGTCAGTAATGTCCCAGATTACAAGAATTCATAACAACACAAGTAATTATTAAAACTTCAGAATATATTTGCCTTCTTTTAATTTAGAATTTTCCCCACAGGCCATTCTTCAGCCAGGCCAATGAGAAGAAACAAGACTTCAACTCAATTTCTCCCACGGCAGTTTCTCGTTTCACTTCTCGGCCGTCCTCTTCATCCTACCCCAACTTCAAGTTAATATTTACAACTACCACTCCTCCTCCATTAACTCCATCTCGCTTTAATTTTCAATCACCTCATTCATTTTCCCCTTCTCGCTTCACTTCTCGGCCGTCCTCTTCACCTTATCCCGACTTTAAATCAATATTTACAACTACCACATCACCGTTATCCCCATCTCGGTTTGATTTTCAGTCACTATCATCTTCGCCTTCTAAGTTCACTTCTTGGCCTTCCTCTTCATCTTCCTCTTCTCGGCCGTCCTCTTCACCTTACCCCGACTTTAAATCAATATTTACAACTACCACACCTCCTCCATCAACCCCATCTCGGTTTAATTCTCAGTCATCCTCTTCATCTTACCCCAATTTCAAGTTAATCTTTACCACCACTACTCCTCCTCCTGCTGCTGCACATTCATCATTTGCTGCCTCATCCTCGTCATCATCAGGAGTCTCGTGGTTCGCAGACTGCAACGCTCTGGGCTTTGCTCCTGATCCCCTCTCCTGTAACACTTTCTACAGGTGTACCAACAACTATGCATACAAGTAAGTTACAGTACCTATACAGATTGCAGTGGACGTTACCTCACAGGGAAAGTATAGTATTGTAAATCGAAGTAAAGAGTTTTTAATTCCATATGACTTCACCAGTTAGTCAAAGAGTTAATCTGAATCCTTGGTCACCCAGTTCAACCAATCATTTTGAATTATTATGTACTGTACTGTACTGTATATTGCACTATGTTTTGTAATGTCTGATATAGATTATTTTTAAGTACAGTACAGTATAGTGCAGTACAGGTACAGTACCGGGTATATGAATTTAGTAAAGATTATTTATACTTGAGCATCCTTACCAAAGACCTTTTTACATTATGACTTTACTAATATAATTAAGTGTTTAGAAATCCATATACAGTATTGTAAAAATTGTGTGGTTGCAGGTTTGACTGTCCTGGTGGGCTGTTATGGCACCAGGACCAGTCTTCTTGTGACTGGCCCGACGCTGTCCAGTGTATCCTCCCACTCACACCGCCCGACATCCAACACTTCCTCCCTTCACACAACGCACGGTTTTAAAACTTAAGTCATTCCCTGTCCTCTGTAGCCAATATTAGGGAATTTTGTTGATAGTTCATATCCTAATGATATTCACTGCTCTATATATTATACAATACAATGATATTTGTTTCTCAAACTATAACTCTCAGCCAACTAGTAAGTCCTTACATTATTTTTATTAATTTAATGGTAAGTGTTACTTGTGCACCTCTTCCTGTAGAATGATGCCCTACTCCTGCACCTCTCTTCCTATTCCAATGTTCTTTGTTTAAAAGAATGGCTTCAGTCGTGGACTTTATTTTTATCCTCTTCACCACTGATTGGCTCGTTAGCCTTTGAATATTTCCTTCTTGGTATTATTTTATTGTCATCTTTTCACTGATATTGTTCTTAGAAAATGTAAATATTTTTCAGATATTCTGTTGATTTTCTATGTTATTAGTTGTAGACACTCTCTAGATGCTGTACAGTAATAAAAGTACTACAGATCATTAGTGGTATTGTTCATAATACTGTACTGACAACTGTACTGTACTGTATATGTTGAAGAATACCACTGTCATGGTTTGTATGTCAGTGGGTCTATATGTCCGTACTCTTGCCTGAAGTCATAAATATTTTAAGCACAATGACAGCAAGTTCTCTGTTTCAAATTAAGTTTTGATGTTCTTCAAGGGAAGGTTTCAGTTAAGACCATTTGAGCTGTTACTGATCATGAGCAAACTTTTGGAAATGTTGTACTATAGTGCAGTATGTTATGAAATGATGGTCTTGTTAAGTCTTAAGACAAAAAGTAGAAAGGTTTTAATACCTTTTTTAACAGTACACTTGTGTTTTAAATGTGGGTGATTGTTGTACTGTACAGTATTATTAATGTCTGGGTAAACATAAATACTGTACTTAAAATACTTGTTAACTTAATCATGTATTATGACTGTGTGTTTGATGTTCCTGGCTGCCTTATTGCCAGATGACACTATACTGTAATAGGTGTTAGTTAGAGCATTTCGGTGGATGTTCCTGGTGGTCTTATGTCTCACAAGACATGAAAATAATAGAACTGTACAATTGCAATTATTTCTGGATAAGGAAGTCTGATATTGCAGCCTGTTTATTCTTTTTGACAGTCTTAATTTTATCAAAGAAATAATACACATCCTCTGGAGGTTGATGGTCTGTGTTTCCCCATCTCTCTAGGGCAACAAAATTACTCTAAGCTGCCACTGATCGGCCTGTTAGCTGCTTCAGCTGCAAACTTAACCCAAAGAAATTACAAATTTATCACTGTGAGCCTTTACAAGTGACCCCGATTGGTTTCAAGTGTGGTCACAGAATTTTATGCTGATATTCAACACTGAAAATGTAAGAGACTGCACAGGTACCCAGGTTGTACTTGGCATACTGCATGTCCCATCATAATGAAGACATTTCTCCAACTGAAAGTACTGTACACATGATAAAAAAGTATCTGTGCACATTAACACAAAACAATCTGACACCAAAAGATGATAGATATTGCAATATACCATATATCACTTGCTAGCAAGATCTCCTGTTTTATCCATAGTAAGTACAGTATTGTTATTATATGGTCATTCAGAAGAAAGAGATTAATCTTATGAAACAATGTATACAAGGTCTGATCGAAAAGTGTCCGACCTTCAGCAGGAGAAAAAAAAAACAAGCTTACTTACTGAGTTCAGACTTTAGTCCCCTTCAAAGTACTGTAGGCCCCTTGGGACTCAACACACTTAGCCCAGCAGTCCTTCCATTGCTAGAAACATTTTGTAAAGTCAGTTTTTGGGATTGCCAGCATGATCTTCATCGCATTTTTCTTTATCTCATTTGTGTCCTCAAATCTCGAACCCTTCAGCGGCATGTTAATATTAAAAAACAGCCAAAAGTCGCAGGGAGCCATGTGAGGAGAGTAGGGAGCCTCCCGGACCTGTGTGATCCTGTGTTTGACCAAAAAATCCTGGACAAGATGGGATGATGAGTGGGCTGGCTGGAGCACTGTCGTGGTGGAGCTGCCAGTCCTCCGCCTCCCACAACTCTGGTCTCTTTTTTACGCACTGCATCCCGTAGGCGACGGAAAACTCCCCTGTACTTACAGAACAGTGTCTAAAATCCCACTATATCATAGCCTATGTCCTTAGATACATCTAAAATCACTTAATTTAAGACAAAAGAAGAAATAGAATGACAAAATACAGAAATTGAAAGTAAAAAATAAGTCATCAGGTAAACAAAATACTATAAATTTCAAGTTTAACCTCGTTCATATTGACTGGCATTCACAAGTCGGATGTATGTAAGTCAGGGACCTCCTGTACACTGTTTTTTGTGTTTCTATTTCTCGTCCCTTTTATTTGCTCTCTAACATTTCCTCTGTTGTACTCTATAATCACATTAAGTCATTTTTGTATAGCAGTAGAGGTGGTCGAGTCACACTTGTTACACTATGGGTAACATTAAAAATATATATTGTGTCTATATAATTAAATAATAATGATACAAAAGACATTTTACTTCATCCTAACCACTGAAATAGGTTCATCACATCCTGAACCTAACAAACACAGACAGCCGAGGGAGGGGACGTGTCCACCAATGATTCAGATTTGATGATTTGTTGGATTATCTTTCGCTTTTATGTCAGTCAAAAATAGGAGTGTACTGATCACAATCATACATGTTACTTATCTTTAAGTCAGACGCTTCACATTACGCTCAATAGCTCATAAAACATGTATACGTAATTCGTTTCTCGAGTCACCCGCTTCAACAACCAAGGACTTTAAGCACTTGATGAGGTTTGTGATTACACGAGTCCATCAACAACTTATGAGAGATATAACCCCCTGTACTGTACTTGTTACCACATACCAGAGAGGTGGCTAGCAGTAACCTTTACCTCAATTTACCACCTTCACCCAGGTCTACTTCTAACAGGTTAATGTAAAAACAAAATTTTTTCACCCACTTACTAAAAATAAAATAAAAGCATAATTATAAAAAAGAATTTTGGTTCTTGAGAGTAAAGATAATCCTGCTTGTACTGTACAGTACTAATATTCAGAAGACTGGTGGGCCACTCAAGCTTGATGGGCCACACTCAAAGCCTGATGGGCCACACTCAGAAGCTTGATGGGTCACACTCGGAACAGAAGCCTTATGGGCCACACTCAATTCTGATGGGTCATACTCGCAAGTCTGACTAGGCTAAGCAAAATCTGGTGTGGTACATCAGACTTGCGAGTATGACCCATCAGAATTGAGTGTGGCCCATAAGGCTTCTGTTCTGAGTGTGGCCCATCAGGCTTCTGTTCTGAGTGTGACCCATCAAGCTTGTGAGTGTGGCCCATCAGGCTTTGAGTGTGGCCCATCAAACTTAGAATATGATCCACCAGTCATGAATGTGGCCCATCAGGATTCAGAATGCAGCCCATCAATCTTCTGACTGTGACCAACCCACATAAATATTCACAATTAAAAATTTTCCGAATTCCTGGTAATAAACGTATTTTTGTAGTTCTGGCCTATTGATTGACATTTATATTACCTTTTAAGCAGAAGGAACATCACTACCTATAACACCATTGGCTTGTGAGTATACTGTTACCAATTTACCCACACTTTTTAACTCCTCAATATCACAAAAACCAACAAAAGTTTACAATCACATAACAATAGTTTCTCCCAACGATAATTCCTTTACCTGTTATTTTAATCCAAATTTTGCTTTTAATATTAAGTTTATTAACGTAACTTTACCTTCTGTTGTTTACCTTCTGTTGTTTACCTTCTGTTGTTTACCTTGTTTACCTTCTGTTGTTTACCTTGTTTACCTTCTGTTGTTTACCTTCTGTTGTTTACCTTCTGTTGTTTACCTTGTTTACCTTCTGTTGTTTACCTTGTTTACCTTCTGTTGTTTACCTTCTGTTGTTTACCTTGTTTACCTTCTGTTGTTTACCTTCTGTTGTTTACCTTGTTTACCTTCTGTTGTTTACCTTCACGTTGGTTACCATGACAACGATGACGCTACTTGTGTGTGCTCAACCAGACAGTAAACAAGTGGCTGTGGTTCTCTGTGGTTTGTAAGTTGTTTATCTTGTTTATGTATTAATTATTAGCAACCATCACATCAGAAGACAAGGTAAACAAGTACAGTAATTGTGGTTATTAGTTTATATCATGTATTGACCACCTAATTACCGTCTTGTATGGTAGTTTGGTGAAAGTTTATATCATAGGTAGTAAGGAGTATCTGTGTAAGTGAAAATGGTTATCTTGTTTAATGGTCGTTAATTACAAGTATGGAAACTACATAAACTACATATAATGAACTAAACGAACCTAATTTAACCTAAAATGACGTCTTGGGCAAAATCACTAAACTAATGCTACAGTGAGAGGTGGGAGGGGGGGGAGTTAGTTTTAGGGGGGTTAAAAGTATAGTATAATTAATCCATTTTATTCTAGCCAAACTGAACCTAAATTAACCTGATATTGCTTGACTTAACTAAAAAAAATATTCTAACATTGATTGGTTAGGTTAGGAAGTTATTTTAGGTTTAACTTGGTTTAATAGTTTTTAATAGATTTTCAAGGCCAAGAAATAAGAATTGTTATTTTCCTCTTCTGCCACTGGATCTGTAAACTAGTAATGGTAAAATTTTAAGTTTTGGTTAACCTAACCTAACCAAACTGTGATTTACGACAGATATGAAGGTCCAAATCATTCAGAAACCATCGGAGAATCATAGTTTGGATATCTAACCTAACCTAACCTAACCTAACCTAATCTAATCCCTAAGATTCCCTGGATGACCAAAACTAAAATAATACCCTACAAATAACTATTGTATTCTAGAAACAAAATCCCAAAATGTCTTGACAGAATAGCACCCAGTATGTGGTCTTGTCTCTTCACAGTCAGGCTCTAGGTGACCATATATGACTTAACAGTGTTTTTTAAAGTAAACAAAAACTTAATGATTTTTAGTTATTTTTGGTAAGGTTAGAAATTTTAGGTCATTTTTTTTATATTGTCTGAAACACTTTTATTAAGAAACACAAATGAGTAAATAATCACATAAGAAAACACAGCACAATACAGTTTTTATACAGACTTAGACCAGGTATTCAGGTTGTAAAATATACAGTTCTATAGTGTTATATAATTTATTCATGGTACAGTGGGATATATTTTTACTGTGTACCATAATTTCAGAAGTTATATTCATACATAAACAAACCTCACACACAAAATAAGGTTCATGTAAATTACCTATATATACAGTACAGTATATTCCTTAGACATTACAGGTACCTTGAAATTTTTCCATAAATATAAGTTAATAATAATGTTTTGGCAGATAAGTTGGCCCGGGTGAGTTAACAGTCGAGTATGGTGATCCTTCATATAAAACGTGGGGATGAGAGCCACTTCTTACTGGAAGATACGGTACAGTCACCGGTGGAAGAAGTGTTGAACAGAGTGGTGATGATTCATAATGGTAGACTGAAGGTACAAAGGATCTGTAGTGGTAAGGTTTTATAGGTTTACAGTTCTCTTCAGTTTTAATCATTCAGTTCAGTATTTTTTTATACAGTATATATTCAGTATCAAGACCAATTAAGCTGATCCACCATTATTTCTGCTTCTGAGAATAGTTATAAAAGGTACTATTTTTACATGCTGGTTAAGGATATCAGTTCAGAATTTTAATATTTGAGTATTTAGTGTTAATTAATAAGCTTTGAAATAATTTAATACATGCAGAATATTTAAAATATCAATTATGTAGTGCCTGTAAATTTTAAATTGCCCTTATATACGTTTTCTCAGTAGTATAGACTATCTTTATGCTTTAAACACATAAGTTTTCAGTTTCCTGAGTAAGTGCGTTTTATCGTGAAAATGACGACTGAACTATTGTACTGTACTGTAGGTAATAATGCCACTAAAATATTAGATTAATTTAGAGTAACTATCCTGTACTACATATAATATGAATTAAAATTCAGTTTTTATTACTACTATAAGCTAACTTTTCAAATCTTGTTTGATACCTTACCTTCTAGAGATGGAGCTGCTAGCTGAACATGGCCCAGCACTGCCACCTGAGATGCACGGCCTTACTGATGATCAAATACAAGACCTTCACCTGAAGGATGACTGGGCTGAAATCTGTGTGGCCAGTGGAGGCCATACAGAGAACAAGTAAGTTTTCTTTATAGCTTTTCATTCATAATCCATAGTTTAGTTATATACTTTTCAAGGGTAATAATTCAGTGTTGTTTTCTTTATGTAGTACAGTCCTGTAGTTCATGTATAAGTTCTAAATTTTCTTTCTTTACTTTTCCTCTTCATTTGTTAACTTACCAACTGTTTGGACAGTCACTCTTTTCAGACTCTTTCTATCTGTAGATAGTGTGTATACAGGCTCTTGAATACTGTACAGGTATACCTAAACATACACCAATTCTCGTCTTGCCTGAACTCAAGAGATTTCACACTGACTGCTGTCACTTTAGGTGCAGTTTTACTGTTTATTAATTTATCTTTTAAAACTCTAATTGAGCAGCAGTGAAATTTCTGAAGGGGACTAGTTGCTCTTGGTGACATATGGCATTATTACACGGCTCCAGGATACAGTGATCGCCCCGTTAGCCAGAACAATTGGTGCAGAGCACTTCTGGGAATGAGAGATTTCCAGGTAACGAGACAACTCTCTGAAAGCCGGAAAAAAAATTGCTCATCCCCGGAATTTTCCGGGTAACATTAAAATATTCTCGGAAGTTCCTGAAATTGCCCATTACATCATCTTTTGAACCATGAAAAATATCCCTCATCCCTAACGGAAAATTTTTCTCAGAATTTCCAGAAAATGCACCTGATTTTCATCTCTCAAACCCAGGAAAAACTCCCCATCCCCGGAATATTCCGGAAAATCATTCCCAAAGTCGAAATTTTCAGGAAAATTCTGGCTTTGGGAACGATTTTCCAAGAAAATTAAAATTCCAGCTATCGGAGAGTTCCTGGTTTGAGGGATCCCGGCTAACGGAGATATTACTGTACTGTATTTGATTCTGGGTGGGAAACTTAAACAGTGTCTTTCCTAAGCTTATAGAATTTTTATGATAACAAGAAGCTAGCAGGTAGTTTTTCTTTGAATCTTAATAACAGTTTATGTATAAGAAGTACCTTTTAGAGATCCCTGTGGAAGAAGAAATGGATGTCAACCACTAGAAAAAATGCAGGAAGTAATAAGGAAGACGATAGCTGAGGCAAAAGGAATTATATCAAAAGTAAGTAATGAAGAATATTAATACACTGTACAATTACTGTATACCTCATTTATTGTAGCTTCACATACTGTAGTTGATAAATTAGAAAACATTTGTGTTATGTAGACTGATATTCTGCTATACAGTGGTTGAGAAAAATATGATATTTTTAAATGCGATACAATATTCTCTGCTCCTCTCAGTTGTCCTTTTCCAAATTTTAGCCATTTTTTTTTTACTGTACTCTCCTGTAGGTGGTGTCATACCCTTTTGATTGTGATAGCCTTTAATTTTTTTCTTACTCAGTACTGTATTCACCTCTCTTGGCCTGGTTTTTCTAGTGGGGCAGGAGGTTGTACAGGTGGTATACTCACCGATGTTCATTACACCAGTTTTTTATGCCTTGTAAATTTTCAGGAGCAAGTGAAGAGCAACACTCGTCTAACAGAACAACATATTTGTGATGCTCTTGATATGTTGCGAGGAGCTGTCATGATTGTCTACCCGATGAACCTGCCAACACACGATCCAATCAGAGAAGAATTGGAGAACCGGGAATCATTAAGTGGAACACAAGACCAGAAATATGTAAGTGTAAATTGAAAGTTGCCATCATGATCTAACTTGCCTATACTATACATGTATGCTGGTATTTATACTGTTAACAGAAGTGAAGAATTGGCCTGGGGGGTGAAATGACTACCTTTGATATTAAGAACCACCAGTAAGTGTCCTAAAAGTAGAGCCATCTAGTGTTTAGAGTGTATACAAGTTTAAATGGTAGGATGTACAATCCATGTGGGCAAAGTTTACATTGATAATGGGGGACAAACAGCCACCTCACCCATTGAATCTTAACTTGATATCTAGAGTCACTGGTGACTTCATGAATCACAGAGGATTCAGATCAGGAGTTTGGACTCACAGATTGAGCTTCATTGTCGACCGTCAGTATAAAACAGGGAAGTACTTCCGTCCATGAACAACTCTTTGCTATTATGGCCAAGTGAAGGCAGACAACAGTATGGCCCCTGCCCCACTCACTGGTCATGTAATATCACCTCATGGCCAAGTGGGGGTGAACAGATTTTACTGCATGTACATTACTACAGTACTTGTCCACAGATTATTTGGGACAAGATAAAAAGTTACTCAAACATTGTATCAAAATGTATTAACAAACATTTGCTGTGATCTTAGTTTTTAGAGGCAAAACACATTATTAGGTAGTTAGAAAAATGGCTTGTCACCTAATTATGATTATATTCTTTCTCTTTTAGGTACTAGAGGCTCCTATGACACAGTTATGGTTTGCAGGCAAGGAAATACTTTGTGGAAAGAAATTACTCGATTACTTGGGAAAGAATGAAAAGACTAAGGTGAGAATTATTTTCATTACTAACTCAGTTTATTCTCTTAGTGCATGAATTCTAAGTCTTTTTGTAATGGCACATGATTAACAGTAAACTTACTATTGACCTTGATCTTACACTGTGATAGGCTGACATCTATACAGGTTATGGGCTCTACTCAGTTCAGGGTCTGCCTCACAATTCATTAAATCTTTTGGATATAGAGTAAGGATTTATATTTTGTCACACCAGAGAAAAAGAGAGGCTAAGAAGTAATGCAATTTCAATGTTGCAGGTAATAATAAAAGTTCAGAAACGTGGTCAAGGAGCTCCAAGCAGAGAACCAGTACTGACGGAAGAGGCGAGGCAGGCATTAATGGTGGCAGAATTTAAAAACCGAGAAGAACTTAAGGTGAGAATAATAATACTGAACAGGTATAGACCCTCTAAACTGGTACCCATGGGACCAAGACCTAACAGTTTAATGTTTGTTATACTTTTAAAATACAAAAGTAAAGAAAGCATCATTGCAGACATACAGTACTGTACGGTACTTTCAATAAAGGGATACATTAAATACAGTCTTTCTGAAAGTTGAGAGTTCACTAAAAATTAATTATAAGCTGTACAGCACTGTACATGGGTTTGTGTACATTTACTCTACCAGATTTTACTCTAGGAAGGGTAATGTTTCAGGGAACAATAAAATATAACTCATTACAATACATGAAGAAGAATGATCAGTGCTATTATTTTTCCTACAGAAATTACAAGATGATGATGATGATTCTTATCATAATTCTTCTTGGGCGGACAACCACCAGCTCCACCGAGCCTTCCAAGGACTCGACAATATTTCATGGAAGCCCCATTGACTACCAAGTACGTGCTGTACATGAGAACAGTAACATGAGCCGCAGGTGAAAATTAGTATTTTATCAAGTATATCTGACTGACTCTGTAGCTGCTGTTGTCCTCTTTTCTTCCCTTTAACTCCATTTTAATTTTCATAGTAAAATGTTTATTAAACTGTTTTTATGTTCACTGGATACTTCCCATATTTCCTGACATACCCTGTACAGTATTAGGCTTAACACCGTGGAAGACGAACCCCTAACTCGACAATTACCTTACACAGTAATATCTCCTTTAGCCAGAATCCCTCAAATCCGGGACACTCTGATAGCCGGAATTGAAATTTTCTCGGAAAATTGTTCCCAGTCGGAATTTTCCGAGGAGCAAATTTTCTGGAAAATTATGAGAAAATTTCCCAATACCCGGAAAATTCCAGGGATGGGGGAATTTTTTTCCGGTTTTGAGAGATGAAAATCGGGCGCATTTTGCGGAAATTCAGGGATTGGGGGACATTTCTCCGGGTTCGACATATGATGTAATGGGCAGTTTCTGGAACTTCCAAGAACATTTTTCCATTACCCGGAAAATTTGGGGGATGAGGTATATTTTTCCAGGTTCGAGAGAGTCGTCACGTTACCCGGAAATCTCTCATTCCCAGAAGTGCTCTGCACCAATTGTTCCGGCTAACGGGGATATCACTGTACCTGTATTAAGTTTCACTGTGGTTTATCTTCCCTAACGTATCATTTAACTGGATGTTTTTATCCATGAAGTTATAGATTTAAGAACTCACAAAATTATAAAACAATGAACACTTGTTGTGGCTACGACTGTAGCATTAAAACATCAAACTTCAAAATGTGGAATGCAGTACATTATACGGTATTATAAAAAATACTGTATTTTTGTAAAAATATGCAATACAGTTTACAACATTCTTGATTACCAATATTCAGTTACCAGTACTCTATAAATCAAAACATCAGTGTTCCATAAGCTAGGTGCAGAGCCGAGACAGTTTATACCTCTTATTAACTCGTACGTCGCTACAACAATACTGGTAAAAAAAATTATTCTATAAATCAACTCAGTATGATCAAAAACCTGTGTAAAACAGAAAAATTCTACTTGTTGAGCTCTAGGAATCCAAATAATGGAGCCTCTTGGGTGTGACCTTCGTCCGTCACCATAAGAATGACTCACTGACTGTCACAATTCATTGCACTGATGCCACACCAAGTGCCTTTTTTATATTGTATATACTCTTAGCGACTCTGAATGATCTGTTTTTATCCCACAACACATAATGATATAATGCAGTGGTCACGGTGACACTTGTTATATACATAATTATTGTACGTATATCATAAAGTCTGCGTAATTGTTTTTGTTAAAATTTGGCAAGTAACAACATACGTTAGTCAGCTGGTCAGTGATGTCAAATTTATGAGTCCCGTACTGTATTGGGGTGTACTAAAGTACATATGGGTGTGTAAAATGCTATATATTGATTTTCCACCCCTTGTTGTTATCAATGATTGAATACTGTACAGTATTATTATAATTTATCACATTTCCCAATCAATAACATGTAACATTTGCAATAAGTCGTGGAGACACACAGCATATTCAATGTTTTGTAGGCGTATGCAGGCGTTTGTATGGCACTTATTACATTTATCTAGTGTATCATCTGTATTTTATTCATCATTCTATACTAGTTTTCTGCTTTCAAGTGAAACTTCATACTAATCGGTGTACCCAGTAATGAGTTGTGGGAGGGTGAGGTGAGGTGATGAGGTGTGGTGGGAGATTTGGTGTAGGTAGGTCAGAATCGGCTGACAAAGGTATGTGGATGGCCGTCACCCTCCATACTCCTGAAAGTGTGACCATGCTGACAGTTTTACCAAATCATAGGCCTAGAGGTGCTTGAAACACTGCATAAAAATCAACCCACTTGTAATGTCACACTGTATTGGTAACATTTCATCATGGATATATCGGTGATCGGCGCCAGCAGATTCCTATTGTTTATCATAGATATATCAGTGATTGATATTGAGGGGTTAAATAACAAAGATGCAAGGAAGATTTGTTATATGAACAAATGTATCAGTTTGTATTGAAGAATATGGGTTTTATTTACGTGGGAGACATGATGTAATGTTGTGTATAGGAACGAGAACATTCATCTCTCGTGTGTAGTGACTGAACTTATTTTTCGGCAAAGATGCCAACTAATCTAATTTTTATGATTTCTTCTATGTAATTTTCTTTCATTTTTATAACTGTTAACCAGAAATCTAATCATTTATCAAAGGCAAACAAGTTATGAATTAATGGCAACGGGCAGCAGTTGGTGTCTCTTAATTTTATCATTTTATTGTACCTCTCCTCAGCTTGGGTAGGTACTTAGTCTTTGATTAGCTACCTCGGAGTCACAACCCTGTAGGCTAGCATTAGGAAGGGGGATCCAGTCATAAATCTTTGCTTCAACATGTCTGATGGTGACTGGTCGCCAGAGCTGTACCGTAATTATTTGTTCAAATTCACTTTTCGAATATCAAATATGGATGTCAAAACAACGGTTGGGAATAAATGGGGTCACAAATAAGATATTACTATAGTTTTACATAACATGGAGGCATAAGTAAAGTTAATCCAACTTACTTTCCCAAGAATTTATGTCCTTTGAATATACAAAAAAAAAGGGGGGGGGGGGAAGATATGCTGTCCTTTTGAGAACTCGAGGAAATGAAAAAGTTTGTAATAGTTAATTTTTATTTATGACAAATTCATATTCCATAAATCTTAAGAACTAACATGTAATCGTCTTGTTCCCTTTTGAAAAAATAATTACATGTAGTTTACAAAAACACTAAACCTAAATAATTGCATTGATCAACTCTATGCCTTTGCACAATTCATTGTAAACTTGTAGGAAGTTAAGACCTCAATGCCATATTTACAGAAATATACTTTGTTTTAATGTCTCATGCAAGGCACAGAAAACATACAAAGGGAGGTCCTTTATTTTTTACCAGATAAAATTATTTATTTAAAGTATGGTTAAAATGCAGAGGGAATACAGTAGTATGAAATCAGGAAGTTTTCATATACAGGGTATTGGAAGTGCTTCGACTGATACAATAAGGAATTTCAAACATTTATTTTTGATAACTAACATTTCCAATCTTAAAAACAAGTAAGACACTTTGTAGACAAACTATTTTGTCTAAATACCACTATCTAATTTACTTGAAGAATTTCTTTGAGGGGTCTGCAGCATAGTCCAATAACAACTGGCAAGGTGTGAAGGGTTCTCCATATGCAGCTTCATATTCTCTCATTTTGGCTACCAGTTTGTCAGCTCCATAGGTGTCAGCATAGCGGAATGGTCCGCCAGTGAATGGAGGGAAGCCCAAGCCAAATACTGCACCAATGTCTCCATCAAGCTGTTGAAGAATTTTTTTTTTAATTACACACATTTCCTTTACTAAGACATCAAAATCTGAGACTTTACTAATACTCTGGAAAATATAAAAATAAGAGTAAAAAACAGTACAAAAAGATCTTTACAGAGAGCACCACTGGCTTAGTTGTGACATCAAGTAAAGGGGCTGCCTCATGACCTGGTGTTGAATGTCACTGTGCCAAGAAGCTGTTGGGTCAGCAGTACAGTATTACCAAAAAGCTAACATTTACACTTGTTACATAGTAGAGGACAAAGGTGACCAACTAACAGATTACAATGAATTTAACAACACTTATGAGAACATCATCAAACTCTAATTACTTCAAAATTATGTTTCGGTTTCTAGTTGTTTATGGCACATTTCACAAATAAATAAAATGTGATTATGTACAATCCAGTTAAGAAGCGATATCATTGTTTTCATTAGGATTAGTTCAAACAGCGGGAGCCAAGTGAGTAACTGACCAGTGGGGGTTGGACACCTTTGCAGTACAGTAAAATGTTAATTAACAAACCCCTGAGCCAAATTTCTCACTCTCTAACCTTTTTCTGGCATCCCCTCATATTTTTAGAGGTTAAGGATTCAAGACAGGAAGTAAAAGTTAGAGAGCCACGGTGTATCCCAATCCCATGCTTGAAAGACAAAGAAGATGCATGCAGGAAAAAAAGTACAGTAACTCAAGCTGATTACACTTCTAGCTGTAGAATATTCTACACATGGCTCAGTTTTGTTTTCTGACCTATTTTTATAAAAAACTGTTTCAACATTTATGAATTAATTTTTGTAAATGTTTCACAAAATTGCATTTCACCTCCAAAAAATAAATATAGAAACACTGTGTTAACAGAATAACACAAAACTTGTTATAAGACACCTTACCTTCTGGTGGACCTCAAAGCCAGGCAGCTCTTGTAACACATAAAATTACTTACTGGGAGGATTGGTGAATCCTTGGATAGGGCCCTCTACAATGTTAACCAAAGTTAATCTGTTGATCCCTTTGGATATAAAAATCACTCTTTCTTAGTCCCTGCGTAATTTGCCTCAAATGAGTAGACAGCGGCTGTCCTTAAGGATCACAAGACTCAGCCTCCATTATAGTGACAGGTACACCCTCCAGACATTCACATACAAACTCAACCCACATGCAGATTGTTGCAGAACAATCTTTGACCATTGTTTTATAAATTAAAACAAACTCCCTCAAATACTGAATGTTACAATACACGTACTCCCATTACGGGTACTTACTGGGCTGTTCAGGATTCCTTCCTGTAGGCACATCACAGCCTCATTGATGAACCTGCAAGCTAACCGCATTTGGATTGATTCATCCGTCAAGGGAATCTGTAGACAAAAATAAATAGTATTATAATAAGTATAACAATTAATCTATATTACTTCCATTAATTCTGAGGAAATACAATCCCATCTTTACATTACAGGTTGACAATCCCTTATCCGAAATCCTTGGGACCAGATGCATTTCGGTTTTTGGAATTTTCCGGATTTCAGAATGGTTAGTTTTTTTTTTTTCTTTTTAACAGGGATCAGCCCACCCGGGCACAGCAGGTCACTGACTCACATTGGGGCCTGGGGGCTAAAATATAATAATAATAATTATTATTATAATAATTCATAGGTCTAGGTCATGTTTCTCACTTTTGATCTTTTTTTTTCATTCTTTATTATTATTTCATTATTACAGTATTATTATTATTATTGTTATTCTTATTTTAGTTTTGTGTACTTTTTATTAAAAATTTTATTTACTATGAATAATTATTATTATTACTTTATTATCATTATTATTATTACCTGTATTATTATAATTATTATTACTATTACATTTTCACCCCCCAGGCCCTGATGTGGGTCAGTGACATGTGCCCGGGTGGGCTAATACCTATAAAAAAAGAAAAATTTGCTCCACAATTTTTTTTTTTGGGTTTTCAGAGCTTTTCGGAATTTCCGATAAAGGGTTGTCAACCTGTATTATAAATGCCTTCAGATAGCTGCTGGTAAAGCAAGGCTCCCATAAGTTGAAGGCTTTTAAAAATTAAAGTAGGTCTAGGAGAGCATATATTTATCCCTCTGTAGGTACTGTACAACGAAAGACAAAAGTCGTGTCGTGAAAAATGGTGAAAACATATGCCGAAGGGCTAAATTTTGGTGCATTCTTTCCTTGTGGTAGGGCTCTTATAATGTTTCACGAGAAGTATTTAATCTTCGGACAACACGACTTTTGTCTTTGATTGTACACTCGCCACAAAGTTCTCGAACGCTTCAAGGGTCATACAATATGGCACAACAAACAAGAAATCTAAACATTGCTCTCTAAGGAAGTTTTATTGCCAAAATTATATTACTTTCATTATTTTATGTATTTATTTTTTTTTATGATTTTTGGGGCCCGGGGGGTTGGGGTATGGAAGTTATTTTTATAAAATCAAAATAAACGTCAGTACACTCAGACACATAAGTGCCCAGACATCTACCCGCAAAAAACTTACTCAATGCTTTTTTAATTAATTCTCTATTCATTAAAAGCGGAAACGATTTTTTCTTCGTGATACATTAATGATGATCAGTGTTAAAAGGCAATTATGTAGACTGACTCAACAGATATGGGGCCCTAGGTGTGAGCTGGGGTGGGGGGCTTGAAGATACATTGATCGAAGTTTAATTCATAGACCTTGTTTTATGAGGCACCTCAGGCAAGAAGACAAGCACAAAAAAAACTAGGTGTCCAGGTATTCTGTTCAAAATGGGGAAGTTTGAAAATTATAATGGTATTAGTTGAGTTACACAGCTTCACCCAGGTGGAAGGACAGGAGATAGTGCATCACTGTCCCTTACCAAATATCACCTTTTTTTCAGAACTGTAGAAATGTATATAGAACAAATGAACGAACACACACAAAATGTAATCTCCAGTCACTTGTCTTGTTCTTACCTGTCGGGTCTCACTTATCCAACATGAAAAAAAAATCTGAAATACACCTCCTGCTTCTAAGTACACCTCCGTCATCCAATAAAAGAATCTAGTAACTGATGTTGTGACTTACTATAAATTCTATTGGAAGGCAGAACTAAGTGTAACCATTCACTATCATTCATTACTTCTGGTAAAGTAAGGAATCACTTACTTTAGGGGTAACCTTATACTTCTTCAATATTTCAAGTGCACCTTCATTAACATTGCGTTCCTTCACTCCTGGTTCGTAAACATAAACACCTTTGCCAGACTTGCGACCTGGAAAAAGAAAAACATTAGGTCAATATCATGAAACATTCTGACTGTAAAAATAACAAACATCAATACAGTATAACTTTAATTAATAATATCAGGACAAGAATGTGCCAACCTTTTATCAGTGAAGTTAACACTGAATAGTCACTGAAAGAAGCATGCTGTGGGCTAGTAAGTTAAAATCATCATGGTTATCAAAATACGACCGAGTGTCCTAAAGAAATGCACATGAAAATCTGTAAAACATCTACCTTATAATATCTGTTGTAATTTTATCGATATTCAAAAAGGATATTGAATAATTCACACATAATAAGTAGTGTATGTCTATGTTGCTCAGATTTTTATGATACCAGTATATAGAATGTTTGTAACAATTGATAATTACTGGAAGGAGACAAATTTGTTCAGTTAACTTTCAATCATTCTAGATGTATGTGCTTGTCTTGGGCAAGGTTTGATACAGCAGAAATGAAACAGGTTTAAGTGATCAAAAACTCAATCTTTTTAAACTAGCTCAGTGGCCTTACACGCTGTTGAGACTAAAGATTCATATATAGATAAAGATTTGATTACATTTTATATGACAACTTAGGTTAAAATGTACCAACCATAGAACCCAGCAGCCACCATATCCTTCAAGACATTAACATCTCCACTCTTCATTCTTGAGCCCAGCACTCTGGTTAGGTACTGTCCCACATGCATACCAACATCACAACCTGGAAAAAAAATAAAATAAATAAAATATTAATCATTCAATGAAATTTTGTATTGGAGAATAAAATCCTAATTCAAAGTAGGGAAAAAGGTTACTGTGTAGCAGAGCAATTCTTTTTTTTTTTCTCAACAAATAACAGCTGTAATAATTTATATCAAATACTTGCAATGACAACACAAAACTAGATGGACGGTGTCAGTAAACAACATTCCTCGGCACCATCACACAGGTATAGATACAGTGATGCCGTCTCTGACAGTTATCCTTAAATCAAAACCAGTTGATCTACTTTTAAGAATATTATTCTTTAATGACCAATGTCAACTAGGGTCATGTTTTATCAGAACCAGTCAACCCATTTTTATGTTTTGTTTCTCAAACTGTGGGTGTTCGCTTGAGGGCCCCCCCAAAAAAACAAATACAGCATCAAACATTGAGAAACACTAATACAAAAACATTTGAGAGGTTTTGTCCTATTATGCACTTTAATTTTAAAAGGAACAAACAAATTTGATTCCATTTTCCTTCTCAGTCGGCTAAATAATAACAAAAACGTGACTCACCAACTTCATCCAGTAGTGTGGCAGCTCCCACAGGCCAACCAAAGGCCGTTGTAGCTTTGTCCATCCATTTTGGGTCAACACCTTCTTGGAACATAAGTAGGCCGTTGGCAAGCATGGTTCCCACGATTCTTGTTGTGTAGAACCCTGGACCATCCTTGACCACAATCACTACCTGCAGGGTTTCATTTGATTTTTATTCTCTACATCTGACCTATCCATTAAACACCAAACATGGCCTTTCCCAAAACATAAAAGTGTGACAGTGAATGTTCCTTATTTATTTCAGGCACCATTTATTCCTCATGTCCTTTGTTGCAGACCCCCCCACAAAAAGAGTAATTCTATAAATATGTGAAAAAGGTGCTTTAACACCTGCCTCTTCCCAAACATTAAAAATAATAATTATATTGTCTTCATCAATAGAAGTACTATATGTAAAATACACAAAACAAGAACTGTTAATCAGTGTGCACTGAATAATCACTTAATATGACTGGTCCATCAGATAATACCAACAGCCTTTGCCATTAATAATCATAGAAATACCTGACCTTGTATCTGCCATATCTTAGACATAACAATACATTAGGTGCATTTCCTCCCATGTTCTACCCCATCACGCATCACTTATCTTCAGTATGACTGATTTACACAATATGTTTTGTAATTTCTTAGCTGTTCATAATGTAATATTACCCACAATTAGGTACATAAACACATTTGTATTTGTCAGAAATACAGTACGTAGTTTTATTTCAGCTTTGTGATAGAATTTTTCCCATCTTTAAAATACAATTGTTCTACACATGCATCTATTGTAGCGGACTTCATAACCCTTCCTATTTCTCATCAGTCAGTCAAATCCTCCATTTGTATTCGTCGAGGAACCAATATTAATATCCATCTTATACTTCATAGCCTCCATTTGTATTCGTCCAGGAACCAATATTAATAATCTAAAATTACTTAAACTTGCACATTAGTCAAGTACAGGCATTAGTAGTACAAGGTGGTATAATGTTCCTTCTGAAGTACCGGTACATTGTAAACATTTGATATCCCTATATACTCTGATTACCAAAATCTCAAATAGCATCAAAGAAATGTAAGAATAACACTTACTTTGCCTTGTTTCAATCCAACATCTACTGCAGAGGCTATTGTATCCTGTGAGGTTTGGCCTGTGGTGATGATCTCCAACAACTGCATCTTGTCCACTGGTGAAAAGTAGTGCATACCTATTACCTGCAGCAGATAGTTAACAATTAGTATTCAGTAGATCAATGGACACAGTTTTTGTAGTACTGTAAAATAATCAAGCCTGTAATTAGTTTTCAATTCAGATTAACAAATCAATACTGGCTAATTAACGAGGTGGTTGTCTGAGCAATGGAACTCCTGACTATGATAACTGCATTACATGATCGGTCTAGACTCTAGCTAAAGGGAACAAGACAAATTTAATGTGATAATTAACAAACCTTATCTGGACGGCTGCTTGCTTTTGCAATATCACCAATGGGCAAAGCTGAAGTGTTGGTGGCAAATATACAATGCTCTGGCAGATGGGGTTCCACCTCCTTTATTATACGATGTTTAAGAGCCAAATCTTCAAATACTGCCTCAATCACCATATCACAGTCCTTAAAGACATCATAACTAGTGGTTGGTTCCAAGTTTGACATATACTGGTCAGCCACAAAGCTGCTGAACTTCTTACGCTTAACTGCCTTGGTAAGGCCTTCTTGTACCTGCTTGATACCTCTTGCAAGGCCAGGATAATTCATGTCCTTTAAGATGGTGTTGTAACCCTTGTCTATAGATACTTGTGCAATACCAGCACCCATCAATCCTGCTCCTAGAACAGCCAAATTTTTGGCTGGTTTCTGCGGCTTACCAAACCTGTTCTTTTTGCACTCTGTTTGACCATGGAAGAGACCAATTAAACCTTTAGACTCACTCGTCATGGCTAGTTCACCAAAACCTTTTTTCTCGGCAGCATAACCTGCTGCTGGTCCTTTGTCTAAACCAATACGAATGACCTCTAAAATTTTTAGAGGTGCAGGATACAGTCCATTTGTCTGCTTCATTACTGTTGACTTTGCCTTGTTGAAGACCAGATCCTTCACAAAATCATACTGCAGAGCTATTCCGGTTACCTTTTCCACGGTATTTTTTGGACCACGCTTTGCACGTAGGTCACCGCTAGCCAGATCCTTAGCGGTCTTTATGGCTATCTCCTCTAAATATGTCAATGTATTTACATCTGCTGCTACCATCCCTGGACCAAGTGGATTCACCAGTGCATCAACTAAACCCATCTTCTTTGCTTTGTCTGCCTTCACAGTTTTACCAGTGAGGGTCATGTCCAGTGCATTGGGAACACCCACTAGCTTATGAAGACGTTGCGTACCACCACCACCTGGTAAAATGCCTAACATAACCTCGGGCAAACCAAGCCCAGCTTTATCCTTTACAGCCAGACGGTAGTGACAAGATAGAGCAACTTCCAGTCCACCCCCAAGGCATGACCCCATAATTGCTGCCACCACAGGTTTTTTGCTCTTCTCGATGCGGAAAAGAATGTCATGACAGGCTTGAGAGAGCTCTTCCACGGCTTCCAGTGTTGAACATTTCTCTATCATTCCAATATCTGCTCCAGCAATAAAACATCCAGGCTTGCTAGAAATGAGCACAGCAGCCTGTATTTCAGGATTGTTTTCAAGCTCCTTAACAATTTCTGTTATCTCCTCCATTACCGGTTCATTGAGGACATTGACCTTCCCAGGAGAGTTGAAGGTGACAACCCCAACTCCATCTTTTACAGTGAGGTTGGTATGAACACCCAGAGCTCTTGCTGTTGTTGACAGATACCTGCTGCTCAACACTGGTACTGGAAAATAAATAAAGTTGTTCACTTTATCTGTACAGTACAGTGTACACAAACTGTACAAATATTCATGCTGCATAAACAAGAATATTCAAAATATTAAATACAAGATGTCTTGTAGATGTATTGTTTTACAACAATATAAACATAGAAGACTAACATAATAAAATAGTTATGAGGTAAGGGGAGATCCTAAACCAGAAATTACTGTACAGTACTGTGACAAGTCTCAGTATTTCACACTTCAGAATATTGTACAGTACTGTACTACAATTTGGAATATATCATAATTATGGTAACATTAATATGTATACTGTATACAGTACAGTAAGATCCCATTTAAAGCTAATTTACTCTTAAGCTCTAGGCATTTTCTTTTAATTCTATAAAATAAGAAAAATGCCATATTCAAATGAACCAATGGGCACACCCGCCACTTTTGTTTATGCTTGCCGTGCAGGTAAAGCATGTAGGTGGAAGACCTAACTCGGTGCCATATACAGTACCTTTAAGTCAGTTTATCATTATGGAGAAAGCATGAAGCATCTTTTACCAACTTAAGGAATAAGGCAAAGGATTGGTGATGGAAACATTTACCAACCTCTGCTGTCATTGCTCAAGCAGACTGGCACTCACTACAACAACGGGGTCTTCAGCTCTTTAATAAATTATAGTAATGTATAATGTGTGTTTATATACCCTGTTTATTCTTTAATCAATTGTCTATGTGTACCAGTAGCCAAATTAAGCCATTATGCATCACTCATATGTAAGAAATAACACTTAGGAACATACCGGTACAGTATCTCTTACAGTACATTGTTATAATGACACCATAGAAAGCCAGTTTGGTAAAAGCTCTCTTCTCCTGAGCTTTTACTGGGGTATTACCATATTGTACTGTACCCTATTCTACCAATTACAAAAGTGTAGTACTGTACAGGGCATACTGTATATTTAAAAGGAAAAGCACAATGTTTAGATGAAATATATCATGTTTGGACAAAACAAATTTCTGTACCTCATTTTTAGTGCATACATGTACAGTACCGGGTACTTTAATTGTAAAGAAAGTCAATCACACCTAGTACAGTAGCACTGGGTCAAGTCACACAACCAAAATGTTGAAAATTGAACAGTAAACTCTCAATAGAGTATATAATGAGAATAATACCAAGAATTATCACACATTAGTGACTCACATGACAAGTGTTCTATCAATTTCAGCAAGAATTATTGAGCATGGGACTGCAGCCCCAAATTGTACGCAAAAAAAAAAAAAAATCATTTCAAAACACTTTTTAATAAATTACAACAAAAGTGGAGGTTCTACCATCTGGTTAGATATTGGAAGCATAATGTGTTGTCTAATAGTAGACCCTGCTGCCATATGGCATCACAAAAATTTTGACCAAGTTCCAGGTTGCTGATCTGACTTTCTGCCTCGTTTACACACAATTGCAGGGTCTCAATTGTTTCTCTTACTTTGACAACACAATACAGTATACATATATGGTTTCTTATTATTTATCTTTTGTTTGTGCTTTGTATATATTTATGGTCCTTTATTATTATTATCATTATTATATATTTTTATTTATTATATTTTTTATTAATTTTTATTATTATTATTATTATTATTATTATTATTATTATTATAATATTTTCGCCCCCACGCCCTGATGTGGATCATTGACGTGTGCCCTGGTGGGCTAATCCTGTTAAAAAAAAGTGATCTGCGTACACACTGGTGGCAGCTGCTAGTAGATGACATGCCAGTCCTGCCATCTACTGAGGGTGGGGAAAACTTTAGGTTTTCCTCAGATCAATTGCCTGTGTTTGATATTAAACCTAAAAAACAAAACAAAAAAAATACTGAATTTGATGAAACTTATTTGATTCTCTAAGAAATAAGATAAAACACATTTAATGGTCATTTTACACTAATGAAGCCACAAGTACAGAAAACTCTTGACAAATATTCCAGCCAGAGAATGTTGTGATAGCACAAGAGTGTGAGCACATTTAAGGCACCTGCCAAAACTCAAACAGGTGTAAGATTTTTTTCTCAATGAACATAGAGCACGGACTCGCACTATTTTTAAGTTCTTGGAAGAACTACCATACAGTATACAGGGTATTTGGTTTTCATATGCTACGTACATGAAAAAAGTTTACACCCAAAAAACTAGAAATTTGTAAGTTACAAAAACTAAAAGCCATGATATGCAATTCTATAATCAAATAACAGAGCAAACTGAAAAAAAAAAAAGAACACAGTTTTCCATCCTACAATGAAACACTTCAAAGAAAGCATTAGAAAAATGTACACAATACCTCGCAGACAAATCTCCATTGATTATTTTGTCAGAAAACTCAGTCATAACATTTTAAAGTTATTATAATTAACATTACTCGTACGGTTCAGTCCATAAAAATGTCTCAAATTATCAATCACGTTTATACACTGAATATAAAGTGAGTCCGCAATCATTTTAATCTTCATCCCAACCATTCACAGAAGTTAACTGATAATGACCTCACCTAAAAGAGTATATGCTGATAACCACAAGGAAAAAAGAAAACACAAAGTTCCCAAGCGCTTTCGTGTAATTCACATCTTCAGGGGTATGTACAGTATAGTATGCTTGTTTGTTATGCATGCTGGAAATGGTTTCCCTTTTATCATTTACTGTATTTTAAAATTGTACAAAATTTACATGTGCAAATGTACACACACCAAAAGAAACCGTGTCAGTCATCCGTCCCCTCCATGAACCTGTGGATCTGAGACAAGACGCATAAATGGGACCAACACTATAATGTCTCGGAGTCACGGGTTCAGTCTCAGGGTTCATGGCTGGGACGGAGGACTGACGGGACTCTTTTTAGTGTGTGTACAATGTGTGATTTAATTCAGGTTATATAATGTTAAAAAAAAAAGAATGAAATCCTCAGAGAGCTTATTGGTAGATCAGAGGCTGAGTCAAAACCTAAGGGTCTTTCCATACCACACCAACCACCTCTCCCTCCTCCCTAAGACCTTTAAAATGGTGTTATATATATATACCTCAGTCCCCTTATACTGATTAAAAATAACGCACTTCCACCCAAGGATAAGGTAGTTCAGGTAGGTTCCGTTGGTTCATCTTATTTCCAATAAAAATACTGTCCCTGCTTGTGCTGTTACCAAATGATTCACTTCAGTTGACAAATATTTTCTAGCAGTTCCATCACACTGTTCTTCTTGCAAATGTTTCTCTCCCCAACCGTCCATTACAGTAAGGTAACAAAATAAATCCTGTTAAACATAGCAAATTAGGTAACAGTAGGTCTGGCAGGTTATTTTATTTACAATAACTAATTTTGCTGCTGTGGGAAGTCTACTCTGTTTAGGTATTAAGGAAAGCTATGGCAAAATTGCTCAACAAACAATAATATAAAAATTAGCATAAATCTGTTTTTTTTTTTGTACAATATCATAAATAATTTAAACTACTGCTGGTTTTTCATCATGTTAATATCTCAGAAATGTTGTCTTGGTGTGTATATATAATCAAGTAGTGTAATAGCAGCCTCTCTGATAGCTCTGTGAGGATGATAACTGTGACAAACCCAACAGTAGGAAAGATTATATTCATATATCCATTTTTTTTATTCATGCGATAAGAAACAAGTCTTCTTACAGGTAATTTCCCTACTTGGCTCCTTCCCATGAGTCTGAAGTCTAAATTATTACCTATTAAACATTTGTGATGATTACAAAGGCATTGGAAGATATAAAGTGGCAACCCTTTATAAGGATGGAATAATATCAAGATTAAAACAAGTATTAATAAAACACCTCCACGATCTTGGTTCATACAGTGAGCCACGTTATCTAACAGGGTGGTTACTGAGCTATTAATGAGGTAATTAATGTGAGGTGTAACACATTAATGGCTGTGTTACTTTAATTCACGATAATTACCCCTCTCATAACAGCGAGTGGCCACTTATATGGGTGGAGATATACAAAGGCGGTGATTTAACCTATCATATAAGAACTTGTGTAGTAATATTTATAATAAGAGGCCAAGAATGTCTGGTACCGGTGAAGGTTGTACACTAGGGGGGGTGATCAGCTGATAGAGTCCACTTGTTAACTCCTAGAACTCTATTAACTAAGACCTAACTGTTATTTTCAACCTAACACACTGTATTACTTACCTCTGAATTGGGTCAACTTTCTCGCATTGAGCCGGCACAAGGCCCCGACAGCACGAATATTTGCCATTATTAATATCAAAAGCCTCCTCCCTGTCGACGGCCAGCTGCCGACTGAGTGTGGCTGTGGCTGTGGTGTACCTCATTTGAATATAAAATACCTACAAATAACTAATGTATCTTTATATATAAATATTTACCTATAAATAATTTAACTTAATCTAGTATCAATTATATTTTGATTATTATGGGTTAATTTTGATGAACATAAGAAAAAACGTAAAGACCAAAAGTTGATGGTAGACTGTGCTGTTTATGCAGTTGTTAGAAATAGATTAGTTAAATGTGTAACTACGTAGATAATATCATTGGTGGATATATATATATGTTTTTTTTTGTGGGGGGGCAGCAAGGTTGAACCCCCATATATGCTCAAGGGTGAGGTGTACACATATAAAAGGGCACCTGATGTAGGGATGAAACAGCATGTCATTATACCGGTACCTGTAACATCATAGTAATGGATCTACTGCTTTGACATACTTAATTGAGTTAATTCCAACGTGAAAAAAAAACATATCACATCATACACTGAAGGGAAAATTCACATAAACCATATAAACAATAATAAATCATAGATGTGTTAAGGTGATCCAATCAATACAGTTTCTTTAACGCTGCCTACACACTCCCTCCAGTGCTATAAACACGTTTTGTTGTTTTTTTCCCTACAACCCATGACCCATGAAAATCAGTGCCATAGGTCAGGTGTATTTCTTATGTCCATTTTTATAATCTAATCAGCTATTGAGCTTGCCAGGAAAAAGTGAAATGGGCCTCAAATACACACGCTGTTAACGTCATTCTCACATCAGCGGGATTTTTAGACAAGGGCCCTCTATGGGTATACGTTGAGATCTTGGAGATAAGAGTGTGACATTCTTTTCAGGAGATTAATGACTTTCTTAAATAGACAACTGACAATAACTAAACTACAAACATCAGATTCTCTGATGTTTGGGCATCAAAATACTCTAACTTCAGGAGCAATTGGAAACTCATGGCTATCCCCAAAGACGATATCTAAGTTGATGGAAAACAACGGTATTCTCATACACATTAAAATTTACTTTATAGAGGGGGTTGGTTTCAGGAAGTCAGAGAAAATGAACTGCATTTAAGCTCGAGAAAACGCGTTTAGTCCTAGGGATAACTCACCAGTTATCCACATGTTTTGAGGGCGTGAGAACACCAATTCAAAGAAATTATTATGTACTGAATCCTTGTACACAGTTATCATTTAGGGCATCTGCTCCATGTTTATTATCTTCCAGAGCCACTTTGTTTTTGTCTTTTAGAGGACCAACAGTATCTTTGGTAACGAGCTGATTTAAGATCGAAATGCTGTTCATCTAATAATCTAATTCCCTGTGTTGGTAACGTGGGGATCGTGGCCTTAACTACGTGTCAATACAATTCTTAAGGAAGAGAAATACAGCGATACATATTTTATTTTATTAATTGCACATCAGTTCAGGTGACAAATACAGTAAGGGGCAATTAATCAAAAATACTATTGATGATTAGAGTTATGTTACCACTAATACGTACACTCATGCAGTTTTGGTGTAATCTTTTTAATGGAAAGTAGAGGTTTAGTTCTTAAAGATACGTAAAGTATTAATTTTTAAATTAAACTTCTGTCACTTCTTGAAACTCTGCGTCACTTCTTAAAGTACTGTGTCACTTAAAGCATTGCCTCAGTATAGAAAGAGAGAGTGTCAATTCTTGGAAGAAAGTTAAATGTCACTAAACACAAACTACACCAACAGAGACGTAAACCAGTGTTAAGGAGAGGCACACGTTTTAGCAGAACTCCAGGGAAGCTCTGAGTACCCTGGATCAACTACTGTGATTGAGGTTTAAAGTTACGCTTCACTGGAGTGTATAGTGTGGATAGTTAATCATAGCATAAATTATAAATGTGTTTTAACTTTATATGTTGTCTAATAAGTTGGAAAGTCCATACAAGGAAGAATTGGGAAGATGGGTTCGACAAATCAGGGCAGCATCATATGTGTTCCGCTGGTAGGGTTAGTTCCATGCACCAGCGGGTTGAGTATTTCTTGTATGGTGTACTGTAAGCAGGTGTGTTTCCCCCTTTTGTATTTCTCTGGCTCCTACTGAAGGTTAACATTGGTCGAAGTCTTCAGGTTTGAGGAAGTCGAGAGGTGTACCGTCGTTGCAATAGGCGTGAGGCAGCTGTTCTAGTAATGTACTGTTCCGCACCACCCAGGCCAGGTCGCAGCCGCACTCCAGGGGGTTACCTGCGGCATACACAATACTGTTACTTGCTGCACAAATAGTACTACAACATATAACACTGACGCAGCGGTACAACACACAACACCACGACACACTGTATAGACCTCACAGCTTCCTTCACATGATTATTTAAACACCCTAACGTTACATCTTGGAGAATTAGGTAGGTTAGCTGCAAGGTGTATAATCAAGTGAAATAAGCTGAGGTTGTCTAATCGTCACGTCATAATACCACCGACTATAGCATCACCATCACCACTCAAAGCGACACATAAGAGTACTTGTAACTCACCCTGAAGGAAGACCCTCACATGGCCCTCCAACAAGGGTCGCCATACTCCTTCCTCCACTAAGGTTATGTTGTTGCTGCCGAGGTCAACGCTGCTTCCCTTGTCCATGTCTGTTGTTCCATAGAAAAAATCAAGCATAAAAGGTACAAATAGGTAAATGTGAGTAAAAGAGAATAACTAGGTTCATATAAAATACTCCTCTTAACACAAATATCCATCAGTGTGGAGCCAATGTTGTTGTTTTTGTGTCAGGAGGAAGTGGAGAAGAAGTTAAAGCAGTGTAGTAACAGGATTATTTTCTCCCATCATTAATATTTACGTGTCTATTATTTTGTTATCCTGTATGAGTCTTGTTCACTGTGAAGATGCAAGTTATCATCGGTTATCTTTGGGTGAATGAACTTTATTCAGTCTTATCAGTGTTATCGTAAGTTCTGTATAGCGAGGCGTTGACCCTTACCTATACCACCTTTCAGTGACTATTGAAGTTTTTATCTTGTTAATAGTTTGCTAGATAATTTATTCTATTTCACAACAGTTATAATTCGGAGTATCAACTCGAGTCGGATTTTGTCTTTTGGGGGGAAACTGTGGCTACTTCATATCTTTGTTGACGTGACAATTTGTAAATGATTAATGATCAGCGGTTTTGAGTCAGTACCGGTAGATTAATCATATCACCTCAGGCATGTAAAAAAAAAACTCAGTTGCCTCACCAACACTCTGACCACTACACCGGGGGAGCCAGAGCTATATATATATATATATATATACGTCATCTCAAACTATGCGGGGTGATATGTGACGCCAGGCCCACGCGACTCCTTATTTAAATCACATCTGTTTGACTACACCCTCATGCGTGTCTCTCTCAATACACCACAACACCAAAAATCACAAAGCTCTAGGGGTTGTGGTTATGAATATATATATACCAAATATGATTACATGGTGTATGTTGACGACAGGTTGTAATGGCGTTACTCAGATAAGCCACACTTCACCCTACTCCCGCCGCCACCACCACCACCAGCGTAGTGAAACGAAATCAGGAACCGTATTTCTTCCCGTCGTTTAAGAGAAAAGTCTTGTGGGTTTATGTACTGATGTTTGTAACCAACTAACAGCAGTGTCTACACCCACTACGCTAACAGAGTGATGGTATGCTTGGGTGTATCGTAATCCGCATACTCTATGTCGGTCTACCTTCTCAGACACCAGTTAAATTTTGACAGGTGTTTACAAAGTCCCATTAAGGCTTGTGTTTACTGTCCCTTGAGGCATGTATACAGTACAGTACTCCAGCATCTTCTTAATCAGATCCGCTGTGACATTTCCCTTTCAATGTCTGCAAGTCTAAGTCACAGTAAACAAAGCCAAGGATACGGTTATGTGTAGATGATAGCATACACGTCGAGGGATGTTTCAGATGATAGCATACACGTCGAGGGATGTTTCAGATGATAGCATACACGTCGAGGGATGTTTCAGATGATAGCATACACGTCGAGGGATGTTTCAGATGATAGCATACACGTCGAGGGATGTTTCAGATGTGCTAAAGTGTACAACTGACCAGGGAAGGCATTGGCAGCGACGGTGGTGATGGAGTTGTGGTGTAGGTCGACGTACTGCAGGTTGTGGCCGGAGGTGGAGAAGGTGTCTGCCTCTATCATCCACACGTTGTTGTGGTGGAGACTCACCTCCTGCAGGTCCACCAACCCCTCGAACAACCCTGTAAGAGTAAGACCAAGTCACTCAACATCTCCATCAAGGATTATGTTGGCAGTGTGTGTGTGTGTCAGGGGCGGTAATCAAGCTGGGGGGGAAAGGGGAAGTTTACCTGGGTGGATATCCGTCAGCTCTAAGTTGGAAGCGAAGAAGTGCGTCAGCTTAGGGATGCCGATAAGGGTGTCGACAGGGAGGTCACCCAGGGCATTACCGTGGAGGTCTAAATGTCTTATGGTGGGAGACGACAGCGCCGGGCTCCCTGCCAGCAAATTTTCGGACAGGTCGATATATTCCAGGGAGGTGTACAAGGGCAAGGTGTCGAGGGGTATATCACTGAGTTTGTTTCTCTTGAAGCTGCTGTGGATTGAGACATCGAGGCTCTTCGTGAACACCTCCTCCTCTACCATCTCCAGCGCGTTGTTTTCCATGACGAGGTTCACGAAGGTCGCGTCCCCAAATACTCCATTACGTAGTTGTTGCACGTTTTGGTTGTGGTACATGAAGAATGTACGGATCGCTGTGGTGGGGAAGCTGGCCTCGAACACGTGTCTGAGCTCTTCTTCATCTTTTACAAGAGAACAGTCAACGTCGATGTATTCATTGTCATACAACATACAAGTACAGGGTGAGATATCTTCGGCATTTGGACAGGCAACCTCTGTGGCAACTCTGTCATGAAGGCTTAACTTGTTGCCATGGCAGGACACGGCCAGGAAGAGAGTGAGTAGAAGACGAGCACACATGACGACCCTTCTGGTGGTGGTACTCGCAGCCGACGAACTGAGACACACCAGATATACTGTGTATTGTACAGCCGAGTCACCAAGGGAACACCCGAGGGTTATACACGTAACTCACTGACCAATCAACTTCTTCCACACAACGATTTTTACCCAAGATGAAACTCCCTCGCCACTCACAGGTCAGGTGTGGTGAGGGTGTGTGGGAAGGACCGAGGGCACACAGGTGGTCATCAGCTGTAGTGTCTCACCATCCCAGGTTTTAGTATGGGAAATATCTAAGCAGTGGCCCCTAGCAACATCATCACTCCCACACCTCACACTCACGTCCCTTTGCTAAAGTGATTTTGATTTACCTTAAGAACAATTTCCCTGTAGTACAGTGGGGGAGTGGATACAGCTCTCGCCTCTCGTAATAAGAGTCGTTTGTTCGTCCCCACGCCATACTAACCCTCAGCTGGAAAGGAATACTTGATTTTATAGTTGAAGTGCCAGTTACTCTGCTTCCTGCTGGTGTCCTGAAGGCTTAGTATTGATAACTTCCACATATCCGTAGGGACGTTCAGTAACTCCCATAGCTTGGTACTGTACGTGTGTCTGTCAACCACTGAGTGACATATATCACCCCAGCTTTATTTCACCTGATCATTAAATAAACTAACCTAACCTAACCTAACTTGCCCTATCTCAACTTTAATCTAATCTAACCTTACCTTAACTAACGCAACTTAATCCCCTAGGTTGCGTTAGAGTGTTCAATAGATGAAGTAAGAACGGTGAATGTACTACAACTTACATAAACTCTTGTGGAAAAAAATATACAACATTAATGTATTTTAACCTACACTAATGCCAACATAACATAACCTGATTCTTAATATTCTTGACCTAACTATTGTTTAAGTAACGTAACTCAATATAATAGTACAAGCAACGGGAACCTAACCTAACTTAACGTAATCTAATTCTTAACTAAATTCAAGGTAAAATAAAAATTAATTCAATATTTCTCACCTGATCCTTGTTCAAATAACATAAATCTATCTATTAAAAGTTATTTGGAGTTAGTACAAGCTGCTCGGTCAATATCAACCTAACTTAACATTAGTTCACCATTTCACACCTGCACAAACTCCCGAGGGTCCGGCTGTAGTAGACTGGTTCCGTGTTAATGTAAAATTGAATTTTTGTTATATCATAGAACTCTTAAAGTCAATTATTTTCTCTTTGTGATAAGTGTAATATTAATTTTATATGATTATTTATATTAATGATAATAGTTTTATTTATTTAGCGACTAAATCCACTGTAAAAACTTTCCAAGTTTGTTAGTTACAAGGGCGGATTCAGGGGGACCTTGCCTTTTCATCTGAAAATTCCAATACTTTCTCTTTAATGCAGTATTGTACTCATATATTTTGTATAGTAAAAAGTAAATACTATTTACCTCAGAATATCTCCTAATATCAAGTGCACATGGCTTCAAAATGACTTCAAAATGCCCATAATATTGGCCAGATTAAAAAAGAAAACCTGTGAGGCTTACATCACCCCCCCAAAACCCCCCAGCTGGGTTGGCTCGCCTTTGCTCACCATGTTCCCCCCACATAAAACTTCTTGAACCCCCCTTTTGATATTCCTGGATCCGCCCCTGGGTTATTTCCAATCGAATAGACTACGTGTGGTCATCAGTATTTAGTTTAGTTACCACAAAATGTATCACAGAGAACGATGAATTGATCTGTACAGAGAAAACGATATAATTACGGGTAGACTTAGTTATTTACCTACATACTCGCCACCCCAGTTAAAGGTTGTCATGTCGAGGGATTCAGGGAAGGACAATGGTCTGTGTAGGATCCTTCCATTGTTCTTGATAGTTTTATTAAGGGTTACAGTATTTTAAAACCCAGAATTGTTCTTGTTTCCACAGATTGGGCTGGTAGACTGTTCCGTAGGTCTAGCAGCCTCTGTGTGAACAAGTATATTTATTGCATCCGTGCTTCATGATACCTTAGTGAGCATAACTTGAATAATGAATAAGTGTGTCGTCAGTTAATATACAAAAGGATAGAACAATATATAACAGAAAGTCGTATCGAGTATATTATTTTGGTAACATTGGAAGGTGGCGTCATCTATAGGAGGAATTTTGCAACTTGGACAATAATCCTGTAAACAGCCAATTCCTTCTCTCTCTCTCTCTCTCTCTCTCTCTCTCTCTCTCTCTCATGACGTCATCTTCAAAAATCAATGCATTAACCATCTCTTATGATTTGCTGTTTAGAGGTTGTTAGTTGAGGTGTATAAAAGATAAATAAATAGATGGCGTTGGTATTCTTCTGGTGGTGGTGGAGTAGGTGAGTTATTTATTGGTTGTTGGAGGAGTAAGTGTTGGAGAATGATTGTTGGAGTAAGTAAAATAATATTCACCTCCAGCAGTAGAACACCCACGACCACCACCACCTCGCCACCTCGCCACACACACACAGTAAGAGGGAGGTTAAGGAGGTCGTCACTACTATAGACAGAAAGACGGTAGGTCGAGGGAGGTAGGTTGAGGAAGGGTAACTTAACCCCTCCTCCTCCTCCTCCCCACATCCCCATTATCGCCACGATCATCTGACAGCTACATGACCCCGCAATACACTTTTATCAACACTGCTGTTTATGCTATTACCGATCTTCATGCCTGCAACTTTTATGAGGGCAAGTTAGTGCTATAATTACCGCTATTATCCCGGCGGTGCACCAGAGGTCACGGTCCCAAAGTCTCAAATGTTCTTTTGATAATTTTCACCTTCCGATCCCTTCCCCCCCTCTTCCCCCACCTCCCCTCCCTCACCACCTACCCCTCCCACATCCCCTACCCACTCCCCCCACCCCATCCCCTGCTACCAAAACGAGAGTGAGATGTATTTACGTGTTAAATTCTTTCACTTAAACCTACTGGTACGTCAAGATGGCAGACAATGTGGCTTCAGTTCTGCCATGAGACTCTTGGGTAAAAATGATATTGTTTTATTTTCTTTTGTAGCGAAGATGAATTTTATACGAGGAAAAAAGGTCAAATAGTTAAGGAAATCGGTGAAAGAGGCCAAAATCGGTGGTATACTGTAAATCTGAACTGACTTAAAACTCAGAGGTGTGTGAAATATTTTTGTGAAGTATTCTGAGGATCACTTGAAGATTAGACACCCTTAATTATTTTACCAGAAGATTAACAAACCATAACTCTAAGAGGGGGGGGGGGAGGTTAGGTTAGTATAAGTTAGGTTAGATTAGGGTAAGGTTAGTTTAGTATAAGCTAGGTTAGGTTAAGGTTGGTTTAAGCTTAGATTAAACAAAGTTAGCTTAAGGTTCATAAGCTTAGGTTAATGTTAGATGTAGTAAAGCTTCAGGTAAATTAAACAGTAGTGTCTAATCTTCAGGTAAGCCATTTATGACCCAAGAGTTAATGAGACACACCTGAATGTTTTACCTGTGAGACTAGCCGCAAGACCTTAGTATATTGTGAGGACTTAATATATTGTGGGGACTAAGAATATTGTGGGGACTAAGAATATTGTGGGGACTAAGAATATTGTGGGGACTTAAAATATTGTGGGGACTTAGTATATTGTGGGGACTTAGTGGGGAAATATTGTGAGTATAACACGGTGGTTAATTCCCTTAGATTGAAATGAAATTTGACTTGCTAACCTAACCTAACTTAAACTGACCTGACCTAACTTAACCTAACTTAAACTGACCTGACCTTACTTAACCTAACTTAAACTGACCTGACCTTACTTAACCTAACTTAAACTAACCTGACCTGACCTAACCTAACCAGCAGTGCCATTAAATTACACTGGGGGTCAATTAGGCCATGGCACCCATTTGAACTGCGTCCTAAACAAAGCAGTCACTCCAGTAGTTAAGTCAGGTGGAGTTAATTGGGCAGTTGAATCGTTTGTAATTAGTAATCATCTGGTCGGGAAACAGCGTATAATTGGTGTACTAATTATATGTAACTTGTTATAGGTTTTTTAAAAGAGTTATGTTATTGTTATTATTTTTATTATTATGGTGTTGAATCTTCGTGTTGTTGTTATTGTTGTTGTTGTTATTGTTGTTGTTATTGTTGTTATTGTTGTTATTGTTGTTGTTATTGTTGTTGTTATTGTTGTTATTGTTGTTGTTATTGTTGTTGTTATTGTTATTGTTGTTATTGTTGTTGTTATTGTTGTTGTTATTGTTGTTATTGTTATTGTTGTTATTGTTGTTGTTATTGTTGTTGTTATTGTTGTTGTTATTGTTGTTGTTGTTATTGTTATTGTTGTTATTGTTATTGTTGTTATTGTTGTTGTTATTGTTATTGTTGTTATTGTTGTTGTTATTGTTATTATTGTTGTTATTGTTATTTTTAGTGTTGTGTTTATTGTTGTTGTTGCTGTTTTAATTTAAATTTTTGTTATTATTATTATTATTATTTTAGTAGTAGTAGTAGTAGTAGTAGTAGTAGTAGTAGTAGAAGTGCCAAGTGTATTGTAAGTAATTGTAAGTAATTAACATTGACTTACGTATTAAAGTAAATTTTAATTATCTGTAAATTATTTTCTACCTTGTAAATAAAATAAGTTTACACGGTAGTTAATATATCAGATCAATTTACAGAGTTTTTCAATAAATATAAGTTTTTTACAATATACATGAACTGTTTATAATATGCTGGAGAAATTTAACATTATCTCTCTCTCTCTCTCTTTCTTATTTCTTTATCTGTCAGCCTGTCTCTCATTCTTTCTGTCTATCTGTCTGTCTGTATGCCCCTCTCTCTCTCTCACATGTGGCAGTGGTCGAGAGTGACACCAGCGAGGCACTGTTGCCAACCCAACCAGTGCTTGGTTCCTCTCTGTGTTGACTCGATTAAGAGCTGTTGTCTGTCTGTTTCTCTGTCTGTCTGTCTCCCCGTCAACCTTTGTTTACTTAATTAACAAGTTTTGTGGATTTCTCTGTCTCCCTGTCTCTACCGCCCACCCCACACCAACCTTTGTTTACTCAATTAACAGGTGTTTTGAAGCCGTGACACCTGCAAACACCTGTGTTATTGGTGACTCAGCGAGCATCCCAACCTAAATTCCCCTCCTTCCAAATTTGTTGTCGACTAGACTGGATTCCCCATTTGAGTTATTTAAACTTTGTAATTCCGGGTTATGTAAAATTTTCTCCCCCTCTCACCCCCACCCCCACCGTTTTCCTCCCTCCATTTCCCTCTCCTCATCCCCCCCTTCCACCTCCCCTAAATTATTGTATAGTGAATTAAATTATCCTTTGGGGGGGATATATTTTTTAAGCCTCATATTTCCGGGTCATGAAAATGTTGATATCTTTGTGTTGTAGTTTTATCATTACAGTTATTATCGTTGTTATTATGATTGTTGTTATTATTGTTACCATCATCGTCACTTAATATTATTCGTTTTATAAAATTCATGTAATCTAGTGTTTGTGTGTGTACGTGTGCGTGTGTGTGTGTGTGTACGTGTGTGTGTGTGGGGGGGGAATTGAGTGAGAAGAGTAGATTAATCTCTGTGTGGTGGATAAGAGAGAGAGATAGAGAGACAGAGAGACAGAGAGACAGGAACAATGGTAACAGGAATAATAAGTTCTATTTACCGGGGCCGCTAGTAATCCATAACCCCGTATTTACCTGCCGCCCTGAACATGAGCCGTAATAAATGATCCACACACACACACACACACACAAATACACACACACACACACACACACACACACACCTATTCATATATACTCACATATGTATATTTACGTTTATACTGTACTTACTTACAAATTACATACATACGTTCATACATGTTTATATATACGCTCACCGTACACAAGCATAAACAGTCACACGCACACACACACACGCACATACGAATCAAAACATTGTAGTAAATAATTCAATAATTGCCGGCATTAAGTAACGTTGCTTAAGTAAATAAATAAGCAAATCTCTTTAGTGCTTAAGTAGCTTAATTATTACCTAAGTGAATAAGTAACAAAAAGTGTTTTAAGTAGCGTCATAAGTTTAATGTTTAATTGTGAATGTGTGTAATATATAAAACACAACTGTACTGATACGCTACAGTAACTTACAGTGGTCTCAATGTTACAGTTTGTTAGAATACACAAAAAAGAATCTGGCTTCACTTTTATTAGGGTGTCGTAGTTATGTTGTTGGTTAGTATCTCACTTTACACGGTTAGTGAGGCAGTGAGCGAGGAGACAGTTAGTTACAGGGCTAATGGGATGTCTACCAAGATCACGGAATAAATTATCTTCCATGTTCAAGTTGGTAGGGGGAAGGGGTGAGAGGAGGTGGGGGGGTGAGAGGAGGAAGGGTGAGGTGAGAGGAGGAGGTGAGGGGAGGAGGTGAGAGGAAGGGGTGGTGAGAGAGGAGGAGGGGGTGAGAGGGAGGAGGGGGTGAGAGGAGGGGTGAGTGGGAGAGGGAGGGGGTAGGGGGGTGAGAGGGAGGGAGAAAGGGGTGATAAGAGAAGACTACCTATTTTTGTGATATTATTTTCTACAAAGGACGTGACCCTGTTAAATTGGACGGTATATTTAGATTTATCTTTTAACGCTAAACAGACAAACATGAACATAAACACGTTGCTTTCTTCTCAAGTTGTGTTTACACTTGACATGTCGGGGTGCTTGTCAGGCTTGGGCACAGACAACTTCATGTTACTTGTCTTTTACTTCTGTTTATCTATTATTCTTGCGTTTATGTGTTGGATATTGTCATTCTGTTACATCAAATAAGTTCTCATTAGTTATATGAGGTGTTAACGATCTTACCTCTCCACATCTACTTACTCTAAGATATCTTAACATAGTATCTAAAAGTACAGTAATCAATACACTAAGAGCGGCCAGCAATCCACGTGGAGTCGACGCTATTTTGTTTTTGGTGGGCGGGGCTTAGAGCAATACCGCGCGGTGATTGGCTAACAAACAGGCCAATACTAGCGCCTTATTGTGGTGGATGCAGAACGCCATTACAGGATTTGAAGCTCTGAGTTGAACAATGGTCTGTGTCGCTCCTATCACTATTTCTTCATATTTACTAGATATATGGAAGTGAATTTAATACAAAAATAATATATAGAAAGTGGATAATCAGGTAAAGATCTGTAGTGAGTTAAAAAAAGCTTAGAATGCTTAGTGTTTGTGGAAATAGTGTGTAAAGGTGTGTGGTGTGGTGGTGGAGGCAGCTCGGTGTGAGGGGGAGCTTGTGTTGTGGTGTTAGCTTCTTGGAGGATGTACCACTCTACCACAGCTGTTTTATAACGGCACGAGGTCACCAGTCTACACATCAGACATGTATCCAGCACCTAGACCTCCCGGAGCAGTATGTATCATTGATGTTTATTGTTTTAGAGGCAAAAGAGTGAAGGTGTACCCGGCTTGATCCATCACTCTCCCGTTCTCTCTGGTAGACAGCGGTGGCCAGTTTGTCTTTTATTACCATATTTATTCTCCCTTATGTATCTTATGTATTTTTCTGTTGTTATTATGTGTAAACTGTTAGTGTAGATTCGTAGGAAGTAGTGATTTGTTGAGGTATTAATTGTGTTGTTAGGTTGTAGAGTGGTTTAAGGAGGTGTGTGGATGGTCCGGGTGTGACTCCTTCAGTAGGGCTCCAGCCGGCAGCCCGCCAACACCATCATCACTACTACACTGTAACTACTCCAGTCACCATCTCTTGTCTCTTCTCACCACGCTGGGGCTTTATGTTTGGGGGGGGTGACTGCTGGATAACATTATTAGCTGACCTATCATATGGTTACATAATGTGGACTTTTAGCATTACTATGAGGGGTGTCTGGGGGCCCCCACGGACACGGCTGGACATGTTAGTAGTTGTCCTGGTGTTAACACGTGGAGATAACTGCTGTTGCCTATACAGTACACACCTTGTATTAAACTAGTACAGTACAGTAGTTCTTAGGTGACTATAGAGCTGTTGTGTGTGGCAGTGACATTGTCGTGTTAAAGTTCTCAGGTTGACTCGGAAATAATGTAGGTGGTGGTGTGACCTAGGGTAGAGAATGACCTGACCTGTGACCGTCCCTTGGGGCCCTGTTGACCTCACCTCCCCCCCCTGTAGTGAGGTCACCTCCACACACTAGTGGGACTGTAACACCGCTGCCTCTGTCTGCTGTCCCACTACTTAGAACATAAGTGTATTCCGTAATCAAGTTAATAATTGTTTATTATTTCTCTTGGTCGACACGAGTGTAGTTAGCGACAAAGGTCTGGGGTGGTGGCTGGCCGTGTTTAGGTCTCTTGCTATTTAATATGATAATAAGCTTGGGGAGGTTGTCTGATTTATCGTTATCATCTCAACCTTCCCCTTTTCATCGTTTCCACGCTGTTACTTCATTCCTAAGCTATTCACGCGTCGTTTAAACGCACCCCTTGCCACATCCAACCCCGGCCACCCACCTGCGTCAGGCCACGTGGTTTTGGCAGGGGCTGTGGGGGGAGGGAGGGAGGGAGGGGGAGGCGGCGTTGTTGTACCTGGATTTGCAACTTGGTGATACCTGGTGATCTTAACAAAAGGTATGGGTGTATCCCCGGAGCAGTGACACGCACGAGGCTGCTGCCCGGGTGCTTGTGAGTTCATTGTACATAAATAAATTACCGATGAAGGACACCGTCTCCTGTGTTCATGTAGTTGTATTATCTCCTTCGGCTGTGTCGTATACCATCCTTCCTCCAGCTCTAGGATGGTGCTCCACGCCCCCATCCATTACCGTCCCCAGGGTTACTATCCACGGATCATCCCCCCCCCTCTCTCTCACCCTCCCTCCGTCTCCCCAGGGCGCCTCCTCCAGACCCAACCTCCGCGGGCCACTTGTTCAGTAATGGGTGTTGCTAATTGATGTCCGGCCTCCCCTCCCTCCCTCCCAGCCCCCCCACCCCTCTCCTTGCCTGCCTCCCACCCTGGTCTTCCCTCCCCTCCCCTCCACACACACTCCTTCCAGCCCCCTAATCTTCTTCTCGACTTTCAATGCCCCTCTCCCCTGCCAGACCATCGAGTCGCTTTCGATTATGGAGCGGCATTCCTGGCTGGATGTTTGGGAAGTGTAGTGTAGTGTACTGTAAGCCTGTCATTGAATCCTGGGGAGCAAGATGTTGTTGTTTTAGTTATTTTTATATATTAGAAGATCTTAGTTTAACTGACAGTCTTAGTCCTCGTGATGGGTAAAGTTGATTTCCCTGTGTAACCTAACCTAACCTAACCTAGCCAGAGAGAGTGAGTGAGTGACCTGATGTTTGTGTCTCAGTTCATACTTGTTGGATTCTTCAGATTTGTCTTACATGTTGTTGAAGCTCTCTCTCTCTCTCTCTCTCTCTCTCTCTCTCTCTCTCTCTCTCTCTCTCTCTCTCTCTCTCTCTCTACCGATACTCTTTTGTTATCACGTGTCAGATGGTTATCCTCGGGGGCTGATACTGTTGTTGATAGCGTTATAAGACTGTTCGGTTATTAGGGTTTAACTTTATTAGTTATATTTATCAGTAAATCAAAACTCGTGATGTTTCTGATAATATTCGTTTTATTTACTTTTCTTTTTGTTGTGTTAGTTTAGGTTTTGCTTCATTTTAATCCTTTGTTGAGTTGGGATTATTTTATTTTATGGTTCGTTAACGTCAGGGAGGTGTTGGTGTGGGCCAGTGTTGTTGACTTGAGGCCAGTTGTCAACACTCAGGCTCTTGCTAGCTACCTGTTGGGGTGTTGATAGTCTGGTTATTGCTAATTACTTTTTAAGACTGTGTGTGTGTGTGTCAGGTGTGTGACTGTGTGTGTGTGTGTCAGGTGTGTATGTAGACCTGCTTATACCCCTAGCCCCTTGCCCTCCTGGTCACCCCACCAGGGACCAACCTTATTCCTACCTCTTACCTGCCACTTTTGCCCTCCCCTCCCTGGTCACCCCCCTCCCTCCCCTCCTGGTCACCCCCTCCCCCCCACCCTTACCCTGAGCCATCGTTTTTACCCTCCCATCCAACCACTCTGACAGTCTCCCTCCCTGCTCGGTGTGTGGCGGCCCACGTGTTGACAGGCCGGGAGAGCGTGGCTTGCTGTCTGGGCCCAGTATGGGACAGTTGACAACCGCCCCATTATTACTCAACCTAACACCTCGGGGGTTTTTGGTTGGTCAATGCTACCCTGAGCTTTGATTGGCCAATAGCGCCATTGAATTGCATTTTATAAGGGTTGTTTGAGTTGACCTTTAGATCTTTTTTCTTCCCTGTTGTTCATGGGTTAGGTTAGGTTAGGTTACGGGAGGTGTAATGTTGTTTGACGGTTTATTACGATGTTTTTATTACCTGGTCATTATTTTCTCTTCCTCTAGACAAAAGATTAGAAGGTCGTGTGCAGTATGACCCGTCAGTGTTGTCAGTGTAATGTAGTATGACCCGTCAGTGTTGTCAGTGTAACGTAGTATGACCCGTCAGTGTTGTCAGTGTAACGTAGTATGACCCGTCAGTGTTGTCAGTGTAGCGTAGTATGACCCGTCAGTGTTGTCAGTGTAACGTAGTATGACCCGTCAGTGTTGTCAGTGTAACGTAGTATGACCCGTCAGTGTAACGTAGTATGACCCGTCAGTGTAACTCGTTCACTTGGCTGAATATATTGATGTAATACAACCTTTCTGTATATCATTATGACGCAAAGAAACGAGGGATCATCTGAAGATTAGACACCCTAACACTACCTTGGGGGGTAAGCTAACGTTATGATGTTTAATATTTAGGTGGTCTCAATCATGATTATTGTGGAGTAATATTAACACAAGATTAATATGATTTTCTCAACCTGACCTGACCTGACTTAACCTCTCCGGGTGCAGTAATGGAGGTGTTTGATGAACCACAGTTTGTCAGGACGATCTTTATATTGCTTAAGTATGAGGGATAGCTGGGGGGAATTAAGTGGTTGGGGACTTGTAACTATATAACTGGTGGCGGGGCACACACACACAGGTGGGTCTTGTTGTTGGCCTTGATCCTTCTCTGACCCTGTTAGTATATGTGTGTACGTGTGTCTGTCCGTCCGTCCGTTCATTATACCCAACTGTAGGTCCTAAAGAACAATATAATGAAGGAAATTACAGTCGGTCCCTAACCCCATATTAGACAGCCCTGTTTACACCCTAACCTGACCTTCATCACCACTCGTGTTTATGTAATAATCTGCCCTAATCTATTTTCAAAGCTTCCCATTGAGTTCGAGTTATTGATGGTGATTGACGGTTTTTATCTCCCCACTCATCAACCACTTGGTAATTTTTTGTCTCACTTATCCACTTGGTGATTTTTGTCTCCCCACTCATCCACTTGGTGATTTTTGTTTCCCCACTCATCCACATGGTGATTTTTGTCTCCCCACTCATCCACTTGGTGATTTTTGTCTCCCCACTCATCCACTTGGTGATTTTTGTTTCCCCACTCATCCACATGGTGATTTTTGTCTCCCCACTCATCCACTTGGTGATTTTTGTCTCCCCACTCATCCCTTGGTGATTTTGTGCTCCCCACTCATCCACATGGTGATTTTGTCTCCCCACTCATCCACATAGTGGTTTAGTCTCACTCATCCACTTCAGTGATTTTAGTCTGCTCATCCACTTGGTGATTTTTGTCTCCCCACTCATGCACTTGGTGATTTTTAGTCTCCCCACTCATCCACTTGGTGATTTTTGTCTCCCCACTCATCCACATGGTGATTTTTGTCTCCCCCTCTCATCCAGACACCAGTCTTTATTGCCAAACACCAGCAGCCAGACGTCATATGGGGCCCTGAGGAACTAACCCTCTTGCTCCCGTGGACTCGATTCAATCCACACCACACGGCTTTTTATGTACGTAATCTTAATCCTGTGTGTGTGTGTGTGTGTGTTGTGTGGGTTTGGTTAGGTTAGGTTTTATCTTTGGGATTTAGTGTGGAGATGTGGGCTTAGTAGTGTAAAGTGTTAAGTATCCCAAGTAAGTGTGAATTTAGGTGTTCCTTAAGTTATGCCCCTATAAAAAAAAAACAACATTGGTCAGACTGTGTTGATGTTCGTCTCGCTAATCATTTGCATAAATTTTGGGGCCCGAAAGTTGATTTTTTTATGTCACTCATCTGCATATTGAGAGCAAACAACCACCGCACACACACACACACAAGGTAGATAGTTAGAGACGACTAAGGACAATTTTGATGGAACTAATTTGCAGCCTAATGGTGGACAGCTCAACAGCAGAGTTCATCCCGTTATCCTGGACGAGGCTTTTGTCTGCGCACTCCTTCCCTTCCCTCCCATCTCCCTCTTCTTCCCATACCCCTCTATCTCTTTCCTATATCCCTCTCTCTCCTTCCTTCCCTCCCTCTCCCACCCCCTCTCCTTCCCTCTTCATCCCTCTCCCTTCTCGGTCCCACACTCGACTTTAATATCCCTTTCGCTCGGTCCCTTAATGCTTCGACTAATTGGTTTCTAATTAACTCTGTTCGTGAGAGAGAGAGAGAGAGAGAGAGAGAGAGAGAGAGAGAGAGAGAGAGAGAGAGAGACTCTATCATGGTCTTCGCTCGCGGGTATTGGCTGGTCGTTGTTGCATTAATTATATACAGTTTATTTAGAGGTTCCTGTTGCAGTGGTTTGTGGGGGGCTTCTGATTAATTATTATTGTAGTGGTTTCCGTGGCCTTGCTGTGGAGGTGGGGGTCAAGTGGTAACGTTCCTGGCTAGTTCTAAGCTTGGGCTCCACACCTGAGGCAAGTGGTGGGCCGAATTTTAGGGGATGGCTTTGGCTAAATGAGAAGAGAGATTTTACACCTTTGTATAGCATAAAAGGCGACTTGTGGGTTTGAAGTTGTGGGTAGATGCAAATATAGGTTGGGTGGATATATGAGCGATAGGGGTTGGGTGTAAACGGGACTGTGTGTGTGTGTGTGTGTGTGTGTGTGTGTGAAGGGGGATTATTTTGAGCCGGGCATTGTTTACTGCCTGTCCTTTGTATCGTCATAGGAAGGGGTTGTGTTGTAGTGGGGGTTGTGTTGTAGTTGGGGGTTGTGTTGTGGTGGGGTGTGATGGTGTTTCGTTGTGATAGGGGTTTTATAATGTGTTGTGGGAGGTTGTGTTTCAGTAGGGGTTGTGTTGTATTGTGTTAGCTTACTGGTTTGTTACATTAGGATTAGGGATTTGTGTTGCATTATGTTGCGTTATGGAAATGTTGAGGGCTTGTGTTGTGTTTTGGTCTAGGCTTTGTGTTGAGCGTTTGTGTTGGCAGAGTTGAGCAAGGGTATTTTACAGGAGCTCTTCAGAACAGTAATAATACTCTCGTGGTGTGTGGTAGAGATACGCTCTGGTTCTACTTGGTTGAGATAAATTAACTACGAAAAAATATATATGAATTTCGTTTGTGTAAAAAGTGTGTGTGTGTGTGTGTGTGTGTGTGTGTGTGTGTATTTCATTGTTATATTGTGTTTGTTACGAGTACATGACTGGTGTAGGTGAGGGGAGGGTGTCAACAGGGCCACAAGTGAGCCAACAGGAGCCAGGCGGGTGTTGCCTCCCTGGCCACCACTCATACACTGACTGACACGTGGCAGATGGCCGCCACACCCGTGTTGACATACACACTCGCTGCTCACCAGTGCCTCCACGACAAGGGAAGCACCTTGTTAGGCTGGCTAGTCAGGTATGGGTGCGAGATGGGAGGGGAGCTGTGATAAGAAGGAGGGCTGAGAGACAGCTTGGTATGTGCGAGGGCAGGAGGGTCAACCCTGCCTCACCACACATGGCCCACACGCTGTATCGCTTCCTGTCCTGCCTGCCAGCTGATCACGGTGGGGGTCAGGGAAGGCACCCTACCCCGGCGTTCCCTCACTCATTCATGCAACACGATTATTTCAACCAACGTTTGTGTTTATATAAAGTTAAACGTGTGGGTACAGTACACTGGGAAGCGACACGTCTCCTCTGGTAACCTTAACACACTCGTCTTTGTTCTTTAGTTGTGTTCTCTTCTCCCTTCCTCCTATCATCTCTTTCTTTTGGTCCTCACGCCCCTTGTGTCCCCTTCCCAGACGAGGGCAGTGTGTGGGGTGACAGTAGCGGTGCAATATATCCTGCCTCTCACCCAGTGTCGAGTTATATTTAAAGATACGGTACAATATAATAATTCCCCAGCGCCGGTGTGTCAGAACCTGTGATGGATGGTCAGGATTTTAGTGCAGCTTTTGGGGTGAGTAATTCGATATAGTAGAGTCCATTATTTACTGTGTGCTACGCGGCCACCACACCGACAATGGGTAACTTGTTGCCACCATTAAATACCGTATATATCATGTTAGTTGTTGGTCGTGTATATTGAAGTGTTGGGGAGGGGTGTTACTGATGGACTGTTTACCTGTAAGAGATACACTGAGTCACTGTTGGTGTGTTGTCAACCTCTACCACCAGGCCACCGATCAACACCCACAGTGACCCTCCACTCAGCGGCCGGACTCTTACATCTCTCGTCAACTTGATATTTTGTGTGTATAGTATTATTAGTATTACTATATATATATATCTCGCTTGTTGATGATCATACGCGGCCCTGTGTGCAGCTGCAGCCACAAGTCAGAGTGAGAGCCTTAGTTGGTCTTCCTGTCAGGTAGGAGTCCAGCCCCAAGATGGGAACAAACTCCTCAGGCTCTCGATACATTCCAACATCTTGAAGATCTTGGGTCACTTGATGTGGTCACATTCCGGTGTATGGTGATGTTGTCGCTGTCATGCTATATAGTACGTCCTGTCATCTTGATAAACATATTGCAGGATGTTGCTCGTTTGATCACTTGAGCCAGATATTGTTGAGCACTGGCCAGGGAGTACAGTACTTGTTGAAGCTCTCCGTGTAACTAAATGCCCAGGGAGGAGAGTCACTTGAGGGCTACGTCTGTCTGTTCCATCTCTTATCAGGGTGAAGGTGTGGTCTGGTGTTGTACGTGGATGATCCTCACTACCATGGATCCCTCTCAACTGTGACGACTGACCATTAACCGTCGGGGCAATAGGAGTTCAAGAAGTAACCTGTTGTTTGGCGGCCATGATATATCTAGTGACTTGCTGATGGCCTGTATAACAACACTGCCGAGGTCATCACTGGTTCACGTCTCTCTCATGTTGGTCATTATATTTAAGTTAACACTGGTGCTGGGAACTTCCTGCGTTATTTCTGGCGGTGGGTTACATGTCAACCTTCAGTTGATTTCCACCAAGAACAAGAGAGCAGTAGGGTGGTGTTGGAGCTGCCTCATCACTGTTGGTTGTTAAGGTTTGTCGTGTAGGTAATGACTTCATTCTCTTAGTGGTCGCCCCGTGTACTGGCCTCTGGTAAATACTGTAGGGCGGTGACAGCCAGTATTACACTGTACCAACTACCACTCTCATGGTCAGTGTTGTAGGTAGTGCTTCGGGTGATCATAACAGCTAATCACATGACAGGGCAGAGAGTGTGTGTGTGTTTATATTGGTGTCCAGGGGCAGTTAATACACCATTGTGATAACACCTCACCACTATAGCATCTACTCTGACTACTCCTTGTCTATTAAACCAACCGATGAAGATGTTTACACTATGTTTCAGTCAGATTGTGTGTCGTAGAGCCCTCAGTGTTGGGCGAGAGATCTTGTTAGTCATACTGGTTCACGGCGCCTGTCTTGACTGTACAGTGTACCGAGAAATTCCCGGACTGGCTCTAGCATCTGCACATTTCCGGACTGGCTCTAGCATCTGCACATTCCCGGACTGGCTCTAGCATCTGCACATTCCCGGACTGGCTCTAGCATCTGCACATTTCCGGACTGGCTCTAGCATCTGCACATTTCCGGACTGGCTCTAGCATCTGCACGGTAGTCCAGGCGGTTTTTTTTTTGCATCATGTGGGTCGTAAAAACTTAACTTGCTACCCCATGTATATGAACAGAGGATCACCTGTACACACACGTCCTCTGCATCCACACGAGTACATTCTTCTAGACTCATACTGTACTCACGGGATGGACTGAGTACCAACATCAGTGCCGGTATGTAGGTTGTTGACGGGTTAGGTTAGTTTGAAGTTATTTGGCTGTTAAAATGACTGGTGGTAACCAACCCTCAGGCGTGGAGATATATGATCGTGTGAAGAACGGTGTCACAAAGGATCCGCCCAAGCCCCCTCCTCCCCCATCAACACCTGTAATCCCCCAACCCCTCCCTCAACACCAGTCTCTTCCCTCCTCCCTCAACACCTGCCATCACCCTACCCTCCTACAACACTTGCTTCCCCCTCCCCCCCAGCACCGATAGAGGGAAGAATTACTATAGTTGTGAGGATGTAAGGACGGCACACCTGTCATGCTACCTGGTGTAAATGACAGGTAGCTATTGATCTACTAATGAGGGACAGGTGAGAGAAGTCTGGGCTGTCTTTGTTGCTCGGCTTGGGTGTCATTGTGTCGTTGTCCAGCTTTGAATGTTTTTGTTTTATGTACGAGCAAAAAAACTACTTTATTATTATCGTCATTTTTATCATTATTAGTATTGTTATTGTTATTGTTGTTGTGATTAACAGTAAATAATTTAGTTTTCCAAATTTTTTTTTTCTGTTAGTGACTTTAAGTTTAGTTTCCTGTCACTGATGTATGTGTGTGTATTTGTTGTTGATGTTATATATGGTACAGTATATCCAAGAGGCAGTTAACACACACACACACACACACACACACACACACACACACACACACACACCAAGCAAGTTTTAGCATGTTTATCTCTATATTTTGTAAGATTCTTGACTAATGACTGGCACAGGGGGTCAAGGGTCAAAAGGGGGAGGCATGTTAAGTTAGTTTTGACCTTAGTTACTTTTGCTCCTATTCAATTGTTTGCCATTTTCAGGGTGTTGCAGGTCATATGATGCACCGACCTCCGAATGTTCAAGTTAGTGTCCGGATGTGTTGTCTGCTCTGTAGATTAAATTATAATGATTTTTCTCTCCTCTTCCTCCTCTCGGGGTGTCTGTGTGGCGGTGGGTGTGTGTGGGGGTACTTGTTTGTGTGTGTGTGTGTGTGTGTGTGTGTGTGTGTCAGTCAGTCAGTCACCCCCCCTCCCTCACCACCTCATTCCTCACTTCACATTTACCTGCTCACTTCACATTTACCTACTCACTTCACATTTACCTGCTCACTTCACATTTACCTGCTCACTTCACATTAACCTGCTCACTTCACATTTACCTGCTCACTTCACATTTACCTGCTCACTTCACATTTACCTGCTCACTTCACATTTACCTGCTCACTTCACATTTACCTACTCACTTCACATTTACCTGCTCACTTCACATTTACCTGCTCACTTCACATTTACCTGCTCACTTCACATTTACCTGCTCACTTCACATTTACCTGCTCACTTCACATTTACCTGCTCACTTCACATTTACCTGCTCACTTCACATTTACCTGTTCACTTCACATTTACCTGCTCACTTCACATTTACCTGCTCACTTCACATTTACCTGCTCATTTCACATTTACCTGCTCACTTCACATTTACCTGCTCACTTCACCTCGGCATTCACAGCATTTCCTCATGTTTCATATTTTAGTCTCCTTCATCACTCTTGCTTCTCCACCTTTCATCCCATTATCTTTTGTCGGCTTTATTTTAATTCCTATCTTATTTCCATTGTTATTCTTTGCTAGAAATGCCACTTTTTCTTATTATTATTTTAGGTTTAATTTTGCTACATGTATTGAAGAGTTTTGATTGTATTTTGTATATTTTTTGTGGATATGTTTTATTTAAATGGTTTTATATATTTTGCTTGGTTTAATGGGCTTCACTCAATCCTGTTTTTGAGTATCCCAGCATATTTTCATCCTTGGGGTGTGTGTGTGTGTGTGTGTGTGTGTGTGTGTGTGTGTGTGTGTGTGTGTGTGTTAATATATCCTCTTTATCATTAGTTTCTTTCTTATTGTTTTGATTATTTTAACATTATAATTGTGTTAATTTTCTGTTTTTCGGTTTTGTTCCGGATCAACTGAAGATTAGCACCCCTAGTTTATTTTACCTGATGCTTTAAATACATTAACGCTAACCTAACCCAATCCAACCCAACCCAACCTAACCTAACCCAACCCAACCTAACCTAACCCAACCCAACCTAACCTAACCCAACCCCCAGGTGTCACTAAGTGTTTAATTATCAGGTGAAATAATTAATGTTGCTAATATTCAGGTAATTCCCTATATATATACATGTACCTTATGTATTATACTGTATACCCTTGTCCAATACATTACCTGGGGCCCGATGGCTGGGTTAATGGTTGTAGGTTTGGTTAATTAGGCCCCTCGCCCAATACACCTTGTAGTCCTGAATGGTTTGATAATCATCCCTTTGAAGGGTTAAACCAGCATTGTTAAAGGGTTAAGTCGTCGTCAAAGGGTTGAATCAGTCGTCAAATGGTGAAATTATAATGGTAAAAGGGGTTAAACAGTCATCAAAGGTTAGATAATTATCAAAGGGTTAAATCATAAGAGTAAAAAGGGTTAAATCATCTTCAAAGGGATAATCATAATAATCAAGGGTTAAATCATCATCAAAGGTTAAATCATAATAATCAAAGTTTCATATCAGGTTAAATCACAAAGGTTAAATATCAAAGGGTTAAATCATATCAGGTTAAATCATCGGTAATCATCATGGTTAAATCATCATCAAAGGTTAAATCATATAAAGGTTAAATCATCTCAAAGGTTAAATCATCATCAAGGGTTAAATCATCATCAAAGGTTAATCATCATCAAAGTTAATCATCATCAAAGGTTAAATCATCATCAAAGGGTTAAATCATCTCAGGGTTAATCATCATCAAAGGGTTAAATCATCATCAGGTTAAAATCATCTAAGGGTTAAATCATCATCTAAGGGTTAAATCATCATCAAAGGGTTAAATCATCATCAAAGGTTAACCATCATTAAAGGGTTAAATCATCATCAAAGGGTTAAATCATCAAAGGTTAAACATCAAAGGGTTAAATCATCATCAATGGGTTAACATCATCAAAGGTTAAATCATCATCAAAGGGTTAAATCATCGGTTAAATCATCATCGATGGTTAAATCATCATCAAAGGGTTAAATCATCATCAAAGGGTTAAATCATCATCAAAGGGTTAAATCATCATCAAAGGGTTAAATCATCATCAAAGGGTTAAATCATCATCAAAGGGTTAAATCATCATCAATTATCAAGTTAAATCATCATCAAGGAATCATCTTCGAGGGTTAAATCATAATCATCTAAGGGTTAAATCATCATCAGTGGTTAAATCATCATCAAAGGGTTAAATCATCATCAAAGGGTTAAATCATCTTCAGAGGGTAAAATAATCATCTAAGGGTTAAATCATCATCAAAGGTAAATCATCATCATTGGTTAAATCATCATCAAGGGTTAAATCATCATCAAAGGGTTAAATCATCAAAAAGGTTAAATCATCAAGGTCAAAGGTTAAATCATCATCAAGGGTTAAATCATCATCAAAGGGTTAAATCATCATCAAAGGGTTAAATCATCATCAAAGGGTTAAATCATCATCAAAGGGTTAAATCATCATCAAAGGGTTAAATCATAAAAGTAAAAAAGGGTTAAATATATGTCAATAACACTAAGGAAGTTTTAAAGGCTCTGCCCTCTATTGTTTCTCAAAATAACTGTTAGTTGATCCAGGTCTGAAGTGAGAGGAGAGAGAGAGAGGGAGAGAGAGATCTCCTGTCCACCTCCCACAGGATTAGCCACTTGGATCTCTCTTTGTAATATTCCCTTTCTCTTCATTGATCTTTTAACGCCGTCACTTTTTTTTTTCTTTCTCTCTCTCTTTGTTTGCTTGCTCTCCATTCGTAGCGTAATCGACTTTGTGTGTGCATGAGAGAGAGAGAGAGAGAGAGAGAGAGAGAGAGAGAGAGAGAGAGAGAGAGAGAGAGCTGTGTATGAGAGAGGGCGCGGCGTGTGTGTGTGTGTGTGTGTGTGTGTAATACGGAAGGGGAATACAAACTAATGCCAACAGTATTATACAGTGATGGTCGGATATGTCAAGGGAGAGCCACTAACTATCCCCTTCAACGAGGTTAATGGCCCATTTGTAGGGGCGTCCGCTTGAGTCCCTCCCTGGTCGAGCTGGGTCCTCTTGAGTCCCTCCCTGGTCGAGCTGTGTCCTCTTGAGTCCCTCCCTGGTCGAGCTGTGTCCTCTGAGTCCCTCCCTGGTCGAGGCTGGGTCCTCTGAGTCCTCCCTGGTCGAGCTGTGTCCTCTTGAGTCCTTCCCTGGTCGAGCTGGGTCCTCTTGAGTCCTCCCTGGTCGAGCTGTGTCCTCTCTGGAGTCCCTCCCTGGTCGAGCCTGTGTCCTCTGGAGTCCCTCCCTGGTCGAGTTTTGTCCCCTGAGTCCCTCCCTGGTCGAGTTTGTCCTCTGAGTCCCTCCCTGGTCGAGCTGGGTCCTCTGAGTCCCTCCCTGTCGAGCTGGGTCCTCTTGAGTCCCTCCCGTCGAGTTTTGTCCTCTGAGCCCTCCCTGGTCAAGCTGTGTCCTCTTGAGTCCCTCCCTGGTCGAGTTTTGTCCTCTTGAGTCCCTCCCTGGTCGAGTTTGTCCTCTCGAGTCCCTCCTGGTCGAGCTGGGTCCTCTCGGAGTCCCTCCTGGTCGAGTTTTGTCCTCTTGAGTCCCTCCCTGGTCGAGTTTTGTCCTCTGAGTCCCTCCCTGGCCGAGCTGGGTCCTCTGGAGTCCTCCCTGGTCGAGTTTTGTCCCTGAGTCCCTCCCTGGCCGAGTTTTGTCCTCTGAGTCCCTCTGGTCGAGCTGGGTCCTCTGGAGTCCCCTCCTGGTCGAGTTTTGTCCCCTGAGTCCCTCCCTGGCCGAGCTGTCCTCTGAGTCCCTCCTGGCCGAGCTAGGCTCCCCGAGTCCCTCCCTGGTCGAGTTTGTCTCTGAGTCCCTCCCTGGCCGAGTTTTGTCCTCTCGAGTCCCTCCCTGGCCGAGCTGGGTCCCTCGAGTCCTCCCCGTCGAGTTTTTCCTCTGAGTCCCTTCCTGGTCGAGTTTTGTCCTCTTGAGTCCCTCCCTGGCCGAGCTGTGTCCTCTTGAGTCCTCCCTGGCCGAGCTGGGTCCTCTTGAGTCCTTCCCTTGGTCGAGCTGGGTCCTCTTGAGTCCCTCCTGGTCGAGTTTTGTCCTGAGTCCCTCCCTGGTCGAGCTGGGTCCTCTTGAGTCCCTCCTGGCCGAGCTGTGTCCTCTGGAGTCCTCCCTGGTCGAGTTTTGTCCTCTTGAGTCCTGGCCGAGCTGTGTCCTCTTGGAGTCCCTCCCTGGTCGAGTTTTGTCCCTTGAGTCCCTCCCTGGCCGAGCTTGGTCCTCTGAGTCCCTCCCTGGTCGAGTTTTGTCCTCTTGAGTCCCTCCTTGGTCGAGTTTTGTCCTCTTGGAGTCCCTCCCTGGTCGAGGCTTTGTCCTCTTGAGTCCCTCCCTGGTCGAGTTTTGTCCTCTTGAGTCCCTCCCTGGTCGAGTTTTGTCCTCTGAGTCCCTCCCTGGTCGAGTTTTGTCCTCTTGAGTCCCTCCTGGTCGAGTTTGTCCTCTGAGTCCTCCCTGGTCGAGCTGGGTCCTCTTGAGTCCCTCCCTGGCTGAGTTTTGTCCTCTTGAGTCCCTCCCTGGTCGAGTTTTGTCCTCTTGAGTCCCTCCCTGGTCAGGCTGGGTCCTCTCGAGTCCCTCCTGGTCGAGCTGGGTCCTCTCAGGTCCCTCCTGGTCAGGCTGGTCCTCCTGAGTCCCTCCTGGTCAGGCTGAGTCCTCTCAGTCCCTCCTGGGTCAGGCCGGTCCTCTGGAGTCCCTCCTGGTCGAGCTGGGTCCTCTCTAGTCCTTCCCTGGTCGGGCTGGGTCCTTTAGGTCCCTCCTGGTGAGCTGTGTTTAA